TAATTTGAGCAAATATTAGTTAAATAAACCGTGTTTTAAACAGTTTTTGTTTCATTTCAGGCGCAGCAGCTCAGTCCATCGGCCATCCTTCAGCGTGGCCTACCAGGAGTTCCTCAGGGCCAACGGCATCGACCCCGAGGACCTGAGCCAGAGGGAGTACAGCGACCTGCTCAACACTCAGGACATGTACAACGACGACCTCATCCACTTCTCCAAGTCCGAGAACTGCAGAGACGTAAGCCTGCCACCAGAGGGAGCTAAACTAACTTTGTTTGGTTCCCCTCTTTGTTATGCATAAAAAATATTCACTTCTTCTACTGAACTTTATTGTGTGTTTTCTAAAAGAGCATTAGCAGCTCTGCTTTGGCTTGAGGATTTACTCTCTGGTGGATTTAAATGAACATTTGAAGAATCAGCAACAAAAGTCTTTTTCTCCCCAAACTGCAGACGCCCAGAGGAAATAAGTATGGAGTGAAACTGGGCCATTAAAGTTTGTTTAAAAGAAAAGACAAAAAACTAAAATTATATTTTAAAAAATTGAAAGGTATTTTTTTTTCAGTTATTTCAGTTTTATGGCTCCAATTTTGCTCTAAAATTGGCCCAAAAATGTTCAGTTCCAAAAAGAAACTGAACATTAAGTTAAAAAACAAATTTTTAGATTTAGTTTAAAAAAAAAAAAAAGAAGTATGGCGCTACGATGGTGCCATAAAGTTTGCTAAAAAAAACATTTAATGAAGTTCAAAACTGCTTTCCAGAATTATATTAAAAGTAACTGTTGAGAAATTTTTGCAAACCAGACACCAAAGGATGTGAAGCTATAAAATGTTTTTTCTTTTTTGAAACTGTAAAAAATACAAAACTCAAAATTAAGTTCAATAATTTTGATATTAAATAAAAACAAAACATGAATTTGTTGTGCGTTTACCATAAAGCAGCATCTCCTTCTCTTCTGTTCTTGGTCTCGGTTATTTTTGGCCTCCAGCAGATTTAAATGAACAGCTGGATTTTTCACACAGCTGTGCAGCAGCTTCATAAAAAACCTTCCTGATCTGAGCGAAGGCGAGTTTCTCAAAGCGTTTCCCACCTGCAGGTTTACATCGAGAAGCAGAAAGGCGAGATCCTGGGTGTGGTGATCGTGGAGTCGGGTTGGGGCTCCATTCTTCCCACCGTCATCATCGCCAGCCTGATGCACGGCGGGCCGGCCGAGAAGTCCGGCAGGCTGAACATCGGAGACCAAATCATGACGATAAACGGGACGAGCCTGGTGGGATTACCGCTCAGCACCTGCCAGAGCATCATCAAGGTACCTGCAACGTCCTCCTGCTCCTCCTGGTTTCCCTCCTGAGAACAAACGTAACCGTGTTTTTGTTTCCTTCAGGGTCTGAAGTCTCAGTCGAGGATCAAGATGAACATCGTCCGCTGTCCTCCGGTCACCATGGTGCTGATCCGACGGCCGGACCTGCGGTACCAGCTGGGCTTCAGTGTCCAGAACGGGATCGTAAGTAACGAAAACGGACAGAACTTTGGCAGAAACAGGAAATGACAGGAAGCAGACGGTGAAACAACACGGAGGCACTTCCTGTGGGAAAGAAAACCAAGTTTTGGAAAGTTCTAAACAATCAACCCTGAACCAAAACCTGGAGGCCAGGAAACCAAAAAGATGTCAAATTACCAGAATAAAGTTTGAATAATACAAGATGTCGTTTATGAAACACCAGTACTTTGTCACATGGTGGGAAAAAAGCTGCATGAGAATCAAGTCACAATATTAAGTCTTAGTAATAAGACTTAATCACAAAGTATTATTAGTAAGACTTTGTAATTAGCCGTTCATTGAAAACATCTCAATAAAATAGTGACAAGGAGGAATATAGTTTTTTTGTATGAGGCAAAAAAATTACACATCATTAACAGCAAAACAGAAAAACACTGGACCAGGAATACTTTCTATAAAACAAGACATCTTAGAAAGTTAATGGTTTAACTTTTACTTTGGGTTTCAGATCATTTCTTATTTCCTGGACGTTTTGATTGGCCGTTCTTCCTCTTCTTCCTGCAGATCTGCAGCCTGATGAGAGGCGGCATCGCTGAGCGCGGCGGCGTCCGCGTCGGCCACCGCATCATCGAGATCAACGGGCAGAGCGTCGTGGCGACGCCTCACGAGAAGATCGTCCAGATCCTGTCCAACGCCATGGGAGAGGTGAGGACAGAAACCAGTTCCAAACTGGTTTCCAGGACAAAATGTCTACCATGAAGTAAATCATTCATTTTGAGCAGAATTTCTACTCAGAGATAAAAAAACAATGTTCTGGTTTCTTCTCCAGATCCACATGAAGACGATGCCTGCAGCCATGTACCGTCTGCTGACGGCGCAGGAGCAACCCGTCTACATCTGAGCTGCTCTTCTCCAAGCTCCGCCTCCTGCCGTTTTAAGCCCCGCCCCCAGTTTAAGCCCCGCCCCTCGTCCCAGATCGATCTCACTGGACTTGCCTTAATCTGTACAGCTGGCTGTCGTGTAAATCGTCTGCGGTGTGGCAGCAGAAGGCAAACCGTCTCACTTTAGGCCGAGTGTTAATGTGACATTTTAGGTTCGACCAAAGATAATCTGTGGTTTGTTTGTTTTTTCTTGTGAATATTTAGGCTGCAAACAGAGACGATATTAGATCAGGTTGAATAGCCGTAATATCTGAATGTATTTCAATCATGATGGACCTATAATATGAAAGAGGATTGCATGTTCAATTCTGCAGAATAAATGTATGAAAATACAATCAATTTTGGGCTTTTTGGTTATTAGAAAGAAAAAGTAAAAATTACTGAGGTAATGAAGGTTACATACGTCATAGATAGAAAAAAAATCTAATATATGGAGATATATTGGTGTCAAAAGGCAACAGTTTGATAACTTTATGCTGTCTTTTTTCCTCAATACAATATATATCAAATAAAATGTAAATATTTTACTGTATGTTTAATGAATTTACATCTTAAATACAAAAGTTACAAGAAAAGTTGAACAGTAAAATACAAAAAACATTGTAATGCAAAAATTAATTCACAATATTGCCAGACTGGTCGTAATTTTACGAGAAGCTGCAATAAAAGAAAAATGTCAGTAATACCAGAATAAGTCGTAATACCACAACAACTCCTACACAGTAATTAAATAAGGAAGTTGAGCATCTTGTGAATGTTAAATTATCTAAATATTGAAAAAATTATTTAAAATATTAACATTAGAAAGTACTGCAACTCTAAACATCGTTTTAAATCTAGAAACAAAAAAAATCCAGCATCTTTCACGTTTTATTTCCCCTGCAAAAGGTTTAAAAGTGAAACAAAGAACAGAACCGAAACTTTGAAGAATGTGTAAAAAAAATGTTTTATTCGTCTGAATTTTCCAAGAGTGAGCAGTGAAACACTCGGGAGATCACCAACTACAAAAACCACAAATCACAAACTAAAAAGACATCGTGATTGTCGCCTCTTCCCTCCTGTGCACAAACACTGAGACTAGAGTGGGTTTACATCGTCTTTAGTATAAAAATAGAAGCAGTAAAAAGGTGATTGTCTTTTCGATTCCTCGCTCAGTTTGTTCCAGAGGAAACCAGGAATAAATGAAATAACTTTCCCTCCAGACTGTAGAAACAGCTCAATAAAACAGTAGCAGCAGGAACTGACAGCGTCTCGTTACGGCCAGTTTAAGAGGACAAAGCAGGAGTTTATTTCTGCCAAAAACAGAGAAATATTTAGACTGAGGTCTGAAATGTTCTAGAAAAAAAAGGTGGAGATTTTTGAGTTTCAAAAGTGAAAAAAAAAACTTTTGGAAGTTTTCAGAGTTTGAAAAGAAGAAAGTTTTCATGTTTTTTCAAGAAAATTACCAAAATTTATGAATTTTTTTTTCAACTTTTTGACCTTCAGATCTCAGAAATTTTCTTATTTTCTATAAATTTTCTAAAAATTCTCAAAATTTCAGGCAGACATTTACTTCCTTTTTCTTTCCATCTAGAACGGCCGTAAAACGGCTTCGCAGGAATGACGTCTGCTTAAAAGTTTTAGTTTTTAACAGGAAACCCAAAATGCTTCCATGTTTTCCGTCCAGCCTCTGAATTTGACAGCAGCTTCGTTTCCCAGCCAGAATCAGGAGTCGAAAGGCACCGCAGCAGTTTCTGCTACCCAGAATGCAACTTTCTCCTCCAGCAAATCGGGTTTTATTCTGGAAATCAAGAAGCTGCTGCAGAAGTGAAGCCAAAAAAAAACTACTTTACAGCTTTTCCTCTGATCGTTATTAAACTCTTTTTAGGGGAATGATTTCTTCTTCAATTGTGACACGAGACGGTAAATATTTTATCAGTTTACTTATTCTTCGACACTTAAATATGCTGAAATTACATAAATAATTCTGTACAAAAGTCTCTAGTTTTTCCTCATTTCTTTCAAGGCATCCAGATTTTCTAAACTGAATAATTTAATCAATAATTCGCACAATTTCTGAAGGTGAAGTGTTTCTTTGGACTCTTTTTTCCAGATTAACGGACAGAAAATGGTTCTAGCAGCAAAAACATGATTATTTTATTCACCCTGACAGCAGCTGAGGTCAAAGTGCGAATAAAAACTGAAGTCAAACTCCTTGCAGCTCAGTTCCACAGCAGTTATGGTTCACAAGCAAAGCAAAGTCATTCAAATTTTGTGGACGTATCAAACAAGATTTTAAGTCATCTGCAGAAACCTGGAAAAAAGCCACAACTGCAAAAATAAGATTTGTGATTTTCAGCAATAAAATTAAAACAGCGGTTATTCTTTGTAACATAGGTAAAGTCACTCCATGCTAAACTGTAACCAAAACAATAGTTTCATCGCTTTGTTTGGTTTCCAGGACTCAATTGGACCAGTTCTGTTTCAGTTTTTAGAATCTGGGTTCAATTATTTCATGTTTATTGCTGAAAAAAACAAAAAAGATTCATTTGGTGAGTAATAATAATTAGTTTAAGGATCAATAACAATTGGTTGTTTTGTTTTTTTCTGTTTGGATATTTAGATAGAAATAAAACTTTCTTATTGGTGGAACATGGTTTTTAAATCTCTCACCTTGCAGGACCAGGTAGCAGCTCTGGTGAAAATTGACTGGAAGGAAAACATTCCAGGAACTTTTCTGGTTCCTGCAGCTTTTAAAGACCTTCAGAAACTCTGGATGAATATTAACCAAACCAGCAGAAAATCTGCTGCTTGGAGGAAAAAAAAAGAATTAAAGTTAGGACTTCTGCTTGATATTTGTGATGGATCGGATTCAGAAACTCTGGACTCGCCAGTGAAACACCGGAGGCTGTTAAACCCAAACCAAACATTTCGTCTCTGGAAATCAGGACCAACATTTCTTCCTCTGTGGCGGTTAACGGCGCCGCCGCCAGCTTGAAGAGAGTCTGGACTCAGAGCCAAGATGTGAGAAAGAAGAAGTTCAGAGAGCGACAGAAGCTGGTGAACGACCTCACTTCCTGTTCGGAGCCTCACAGCTCGGTGTCCTTGTACTTCTGAGGGTTGTAGTATCCCCTCCGGGTCTGCTCCGCCAGCTGGCGGCGGTACTCCGCCTCGGTGTCCTCGTTTCCTCTCGTCTCCGAGTACGTGGGCCGGGACATCGTCTGCGGCTCGGCGTTCGAGCTGAAAACACAGAAACAAGTCGGATCGGGAGGAAAAGGGAAACTGATACGATTTCAGCAGCACATGATTAACGGCAGTGAGATTATAAAATGTGAAAAAGTCTCTGCAGCTCAAATTCACAGCAGTTATGGTTTACAAGCGAAGTAATCTGAACCTTTGTGGACGTCTCCAACTGAAACAGATTTTAAATCATCAGCAAGTAAACAGGAAAAAGTTCAACTGGTACAGCGGTTACACTTTAAACTAAAGCTCAGACTAGCTAGAAAGCTAACGTCTTTCCTCTGCCTACATTTCCCAGAATGCTGAGCGGTTCTGGATCAGAACTCAGTGAGTATTCTATAAGATGTATCATCTATTGGTATTGATCTATCGATTTATTGATTTATTGTCCAGCCCTCGTTGGAGATGTTTTATAAAGGAGATTCTGCTGCTTTGATTTTGATTCATGGAAACAAAGAGACGGTTTAATCAGTTTGTGCTTCTTGTATTCTTGCTATTGACAGGAATTTAAATTGTTTCCATTTGTGTGGAAAACGAGAGAGAAAAGGCTCTGACCCGATTGGCTGGGGCCGGTTCTGGTTGGTCTTTGGCAGCTTCACTGGGACGGCGTAGATGTCTGGATGCTTCTGGGCGATTTCCAACTGGAACAGACCCAGAAACGTCAGAGTGAATCGCAGCAAAACTACAGAGGAGCCTTTCAGGAAGCTATTGTTCTGAAGGCCGGACCCGGACCCAACGGGTCCGAACGCAGACTAAACGAGCGGCGGGTTTTCACTGACTCGAGCTTTTTCCGCCTCCTGCAGCTCCAGAAGACGCTGCGCTCGGGCCAGATGGTCCATCTTCTCAAAAGCTTTGATCTGGAAGAAAACGAGCCTCAATTAGTGGAAGGAAAACAGGAAGAAGGAAAGATGGCCGACATGATGAGGCTGGTTGGGACTGATGGACACGGAGTTCCTACACATCTATGATTTATTTATTCATTCTGGTATTCGCTCGGCTCATTTCATTCATTTAATTACCAATACATTCATCTCATTTTGATTATTTTATTTTCTGTCTAACTTTGCCAACATGAAATTAATCAAAACCCTCAAAAGCAAATAAAAAGTAAAAATGTGATTTTCTATAAAGCTAATTAAACCTCTTCACCAATATTTAGGGGAAAAAACGACATTAAAATGAAAATAAAACCTTAAAATCCACTCAGAATTCAGTTCTTTCTAAAGATATTTCAGCAGTTTAAACCATTTTGTAAATTAAATTATCAAAGTATTCAAAATTAAATCAAAAACATTAAATTCTCCCCATAAAACATTGTGCAAGTTCGTTTTGTGTAAAATAAACTAATTCACATTCATTTGTTTACAGGCAGCATAAATGCCACATTATTTTCTCAAATATTTACTTAAAGGTTTATATTTAATGTTGAATTTACAGTTTTTTAATCACAGCTGCATCATTTACAAAAGAAGCTTAAAGTGTGTTGAGCTCAGATCTGGTGAAGTTCAGAAAACGGTCAAGTTTTGTGCAGGAACCCTGAAACAGGAAGTGGACATGTGCAGTTACCTGATTGGCCATTCTCTATTTCATAACAGGAAGAGAGAAAAAGCAAAGGAGGAAGAAAAGGAGACAAGTTTATTAAGCGAAGCGTGAAGGAAGAAAGAAGAGAGACTTTAAGGAGTCTTGAGGCAATCGGGTTGGTTTTTGTTCCCACCTTTCCCAGGAAGGACTTGTTGGCGGGGTCTTCCTCCTCCTGCTGGTTCGCCGGCGCCTGCTCCTCTGAGGTTTGGTGGAGGCGGGCGACGTTGGGCTTCGAGGCCACGGCGGGGGGGAGCCGGCCTGCTGGCGGCCGCCGCGTCGATGCTGCTGATGGTGCTGCTGGACTGGGACTCGTAGCTGCGCACCGAGTCGGTCCGGGCCTGAGCGCGGACCTGCTGCGGACCGGCAGAGCAACGCCGGGTTAGAGGAGGAGGACGGGAATTCATTCACCAAGATGGGACCTTCTCCTGATCCAACAAAACTTGTGCAGCTAAAATGTCATTTTACAGATATTTATAAATGTTTCCAGAGGTCATGAGACGAAAAATAAACATTTTGCAGCGATTCTGCTGCGACGCCACCTTGGACATTTTTATCCAAAATAGGACAAAACAATATTCTAACCCCCAGGAGTCACAGCCAGGCGTTTGAGATCTTCCTGCTCACCTTGGGTGGTTCTGGAACAAACGAAGGCGGCGGGCTGGGGTCCCGGTTCAGAACCTCGCGGCTCCCGTGCCTCTTGGCGCGGCGCGGCTCCTCCGGCAGGACGGGCTCCGACGACCTGCTGATGGCGGAGACGGGCGTCGGGTCGTCCAGCGTCTCGTCCAGCTCGTTGTCGGTGTAAGCCCCGCCCTCGTCCGCCGTGTCGTCGTAGTCGCTGGTGAGGCGGCTGTCCATGCTCAGGTAGTCGGCGCTCATGGCCGACAGGTAGGACATGCGGTCGTCCTGCAGGTCCAGGTCCTCCTCCGACCCGTCCATCTGCAGGGACGGAAAACAGAATCAGAAACTTATTTATTCCAAAATCCTGGTGGAATTTAACTTTAATCATTTCATTAATTTACAATATTTTCACCTCATTTCAGAAACTGCTACTTTAATGTTGTTGAAGTGTTTTGCTTCCTAAAATATTTAACTTTTTCTAGTTTAAAACTGAAATAAAATCCTAGTTTTCATTACAGCTGAACTACTTCAGCACCTTAAACCATTTAATCACAGATATTTTCAGCTCATGTTAATTTTCTATACTTTAGTCTCATTTTATACATGGTTGTTGGATAAAAACAGATGATGTTGAACCAGTAAAATGTCATTTTCACTGTTAATTTCAACAGAAATTTAGAGTTTTTAAACATTTTTGTTAATTTATTTACCAATATATTCATCTAATTTTAGATAACTAATCTGAATTTTGTTGTTGTGTTTTAATTTCCAATATATTTAACTTTTTCTCTTAAATCAAAAAGATCAAAATCCAACAAAAAGTTTATTTTTTTCTTCTTCAGCTATTGAAACAATTTATAGACCAATAATTAAAGCAATTTTATACTTTGCTGGTTTGTAATTTCTGCAGTTAACTTTTTCCTTCCACTAAACCTTCTTGGATTCAGTGTTAGCTGTACTATATGTTTTTGTGCACATGGATCATTTTATCTTTTATTCTGATTCGGTCAGACTCACCTTCCCCTCCGACACCCACACCGCTTTCTGCTGCTGCTCCCGGATCGACTCTTTCACGCTGCCGTACCAGGCGTCATTCGACGAGTTCAGGTCGATGGTGGCTGGATTCCCAACACACAGGAAGATCCAATCGGTGAGCGGATGGGACTAAAAGCTTTACGGGACTCGCCGTGAGGCGCCACTGACCGGTGAAGAGGTGGGAGCAGGTCTTCTTCAGCCGGACCGCCTGTTCGTAGAGTTTCCGCGCGCTGCGGTTGGATCCGGGGATCAGGCGGCTCCTCATGGTTTTCACGCCCTGCTTGCTGTCCGGGTTCAGGAACACCACGATGGGATACCACTGGGTGTAGTTCAGCGTGTCCACGGCTTTGGGAGTGACGTCCAGCAGTGCGTGCAGGTCCTACGTGACGCCGCGTTTTTAGGATTTTATTCCCACCAGAAAAAGACTTTCAGGTAAAAGTAACAAAAAATAAACCAGCTACCTGCTCGATGATTTGTCTGATGGTGTTCAGTCTCACCACTCCAGACGATTTCTCACTTCCAGCATCTTTGGGCTCGGTTTCTGAAACACAGACGTTTTTAAGTTTGTTTTAAACTTTGGGACAAACCAAAGAGTTAATTTTAATTCTATAAAAATAGAGTTTTTACAGTGTAAATTTCAGCAGTTGATTCAAAGCAAGAGAGAAAAATGTCCAGCTGATAACAGGAAGGCTCAACAGAAAACAGCAAAATAAAGTTTTAATTTCCTTTCAGTTTTAATTCATAGTTAAATCTTTTTACTTTTTTTTAACGATTTAAAAAAAACATTTTAGTCCCAATTCAAATTCTTGTAGCAAAGTTGAAAATTTCTGTTTAAAAACTATGATACAAACATGTGAATTAAATTTTTTTTAAAGTAACTAAAAAAATAAGTTTGAAACAAAAAAAAAAAAAAAAAGAATTGATTTTTTTTCAGGTTAAAATTGTTCAGATTTTAGTTATTTTTTTATTTTATGGCCCCAATTTAGCTCCATATTTTAGCATCTTTCCAAAGCAGAAACTGTAATCAGCCTGAATCAGTAGCAGTAAGTGAAATATTATAGAGATATATTAATAAGACGTCGAAGGTCTTTGAGGATTCCTGACTAAACCGAAGTTGCTGCTGGAGATAATAAATAATAAATGCTAAAATGTGCTTCATTCATTTTGATGAATCCAAAATGTATTTCTATTTGAACAAATGTATTTCATTTGAACAAAATGTATTTCTATTTGAACAAAATGTATTTCTATTTGAACAAAATGTATTTCTATTTGAACAAAGTATTTCTATTTGAACAAGTAAACCAGTTGTTACTCTAAACAGTTTCCAGCACAAGCAGAAAAAGTTTAGACGATACTTACTGGCAATAATAAACTCGTTGGGAAGGTCGTTGGCCAGTTTCTCGTTCACGACGTCGGAAATCGGGCCGAATATCACCACCGGCCTCCTGAAACCAGCTGGAAACACAAACCGGACGTCAGGATTCACCGTCATCAGCAGACAAGACGGGAGGAAAGGTTTCCGCTACCTTCTCGCAGCACCACTCTCTCGTAGGCGGGGAACTTGGTGGCGACTGGCGGTGCTCAGGTCCTCTGGCTCTTCCGCAGGTCTTTCTTCTTCCCCGCCCTTTGACCTCTGAGCCTCCAGAAGTCTCCTCTGTCGTTGCCTGACGCCGCTCTGGCAGCGTTCTGCACGTTGGCCATTTGATCAGCTCTGAGACACAAAACAAGCCCACCTCAGAGGTTTCAGCACTGGAAGGTTCACGTCTCGGACGCGTTTCTCTGACCGCCCACCTGCTCTTGTTGGGGATGATTCCCTTTTTCACTTCGGGCGCCTGGCTGTCCTGGTCCATGCGGATGGCCAGCCAGTGGCCCAGCTTGCCGTCGTACAGCGTGTCGATGACCTTGAAGATCTCCCCCCTGCCGAACGGGAGGCTCTGCGGCGCCTCCTTCTCGTACTCAAAGTGGGTTCTGATGTAGAACGAGTCGCCGCGTCCGGATGCCAGAACATCTTCATACACTGAAACCAGGAAATCATGTCGGATCCAGGTTCACAGATACTTTATATTGTACTTCTCAGTGTTCTTGTGTTGGTACCTTCGGGTTTGCTTTGAGCCAGGATGGTCACGTCTTCTCCTTTTGGAACGTCCAGCAGGTAGAGCACGGCGTCTTCGCGCACCATCCCTCTGAAGTCAACGTTGTTCACCTGAAACAGAGACCAGAAAGTCACTGGAAGGGTTTTCGTTTAGATGCCATGCTAACGAACGTTGGAGTACGAGGACCTAAAGGCGGCACCTTAACGATCTGATCTCCGGTCCGAAGACCCTCCTGCTCAGCCGGACTGTCCTCCTGAACGCCGGCGATGAAGATGCCGACGTCGTTCCCTCCGGCTAGCCGCAGCCCGACGCTGTCGCCCTTCTTGAAGCGCACCATGATGGTGTTCGGGCTTTTGTTACGAAAACAGACAAATTCTCCTTTAATTACTCATATAGACCAATTTGGCTGGAGGACGAAAAGCTGCTGGCTGAAGAACACTACCATTGGCTTTAGCTGTTAGCATAACGTGCTAAATCTAAAATGTACGCTTGCTTGTTATATAAAAGAAAAGGAGACAAAGTGCTTTTCTGCTGATTTTTAACACTACAACAAGATTACAAGGTCAGGAAAAAGTTTTAAGTAAGAGAAAAAATAGCAAGGAAGACAGAAGCAGGTCAGATGCTAGCCTGACTAGGACAACCTGACATGTAGATGTGCTGTGGAATTTGCCGTTTTAGTTCAGTTACAATATAAATTGCAACAATTCTGCCTGTAACACAGCCGACATGAGAGCGAGAAAAAATGATCTTAGTTGTTCAACTTTTTCTGCATTAATTTAGTGAACGAAGTTGTTCTACTATGTTAAAGAATCGTCTGTTTACCCTCCAGCGCTGTAAACAATAACATGCATGTGGCAGATTAACCTACTGACCCGTAGACTTCCTGGTCCTCCAAGCTCGGCTTCAGTGGGACTTTTGGAGGAACCCGAACTCTTGGGGCGACTGCTGCTGCTGCTGCAAATGAAAACGGTAAAACAATCAGCTCAGCCATAATCAGCTTGTTTTTCTTCAGAGGCAGAAAGACGTTTACCAGGCGGCGACGCAGATCGAGTTTCGTCCCTCTCTGGCGGCAAAGGGGAGGAATCTTCACGCCTCTCCAGACTTTTGAGAGGCGTCGGCATCGCACCCATTTTTGTCATCCTGCTAGAAGGATCGTCTCTGAAAGTAAAAATAAAAGTTAGCAGGAAATGCTACAAATAAGTACAAGTCATGTTATGAGAATAAAATCTTAAGTGTTGTAACAATGGGAATAAACTTGAAATACCAAAAATAATGTCATAAAATGAGAAAAATATTTTAGAACTCGAATATCTTTAGGAGTACCACAAGGTTGTGTTCTCGGACCCACGAGAACACTAAGTGATTTAATTCATGGGAGCAAAAAATAAAATCTGAAACAAGAAAATCAAAGTGGAAAATGAGAATTAAAAGGTGTTTTAATGTAACTTAAAACCAGAAGTTTTTTTTACGCTGCCACTTTAGCTGTTGCCACCAACATTGAGTAATTAATTTTGCTAATGCTGACTGACCTGAAATAGATAAAGTTTTACTGGCAAACAGAGAGAATACAGGACCTTTTTACAGCTGTACACAGTAGCTTATTCTTTGCTTTGAATACCTGAATCAAAGCTCAACTGTGTTATTTTAAGATGCTGAAAATAGATCAAAGCGAGCCGCGTTGGGCTGCATGAAAGCGTACCTGGGTTTGTCTCGAAGCCTCTCATTGGACGAGTGTGAGGAAAGGTCGGAGGGATGACCTCGCTCCTGTGGAGAGTAAGAGCGGTACGACTCGATCTCTGAGATATCTGCAAAAAAAAGCACGACAGACGAAGTGAAAATTGTCTCTTTCCTGCAACGAGAAACCGAAACAGACGCAGAACAGATTCACCTGTTTTGAAATCGAACGTCTCCGACTAAATTACGAGAATAAGCAGATCTGTGGATCTTAAACTGAAAAGCATCAGAAAATGACAGCAGCACACTGCATAAACACAGTTTTACAAAGTATTTTTAGTCTAGTTTCTATTGTAAATATATTAATGCACTTGAAATAAGAGAAACCAGCTAACAAGTCATTGTTCAATGATATAGGAGTTTAAGTGAATAATTCCTTAAAAGTGACAAAAATTTACTAGTTACATTGGCATTTTATTTCACCCAGAGGAAAAAAAAAATTTGACCGTTACCTAGCAACCCCAGCAGAGTTCCGCCCGTTACCCAGCAACCTCAGTGGAATTCCACGGTCACCTAGCAACAAAAACCTGGTCTACACAAATATGGTCATTGCATTTTTATTTTTTGCACAAAATCATCTGTGGATAATAAGATTTTACTCTGGTTGTTTCAGTTATAACATGGGAAAAATTTTAAATAAAATAATCAATGAAACACATTTAAGGAATTATTCACTTTAAACGAGCTGCTATAACTTAAGTTAAACTTTTAAGTTAGATTAGCCTTATTTCAAGTGTATTAAAGTATCTACACAAGAAACTAAGCAAAAAATACTTTTGTGTTTTTGCAGTGCAGGGAACAAAATGAAGTGGATGGACGATGTTTGGGAGCTAAAAAACCCCCAAAACAATCCTTGTATTGTGAAAATCCAACAGCAGGATTATAATCTGGGATGAGATCACCCTGCTGGAGGGGAATGAACACTTTCACACATGAAAACACAAACCAGACAAAGTGGGTCACGCTGGACCAATCAGAGTCCTCCGACTGAGTCATGTGACCCTAAAAAACCAGGTATAAAAGAGGAGCTGCTGCTGCATGGAGTGAATATTTAAATATTTAAATACGACTAAAAGCGGATGAGAGTAAAGGTAAAAGCTTTTATTTAATGAGCGTAAAACAAGTTACAGCAACATTATTGGCAACAATTTTCTTCACAAATGGAAGTTCACATGCGGTAGGTTATTTTTTTCTCTTTTAAACGTTTAAAAAGTATGTTTATGACGATGGCGGTGATGATGATGGCGGCGGCGGCGGAGACGAGCATTCACACTGGGTAGGTCCTGCTGGTTTTCAGTTTGGAGGGTCTCTCACCATCGAGCTCCGAGTCGCTGTCCACCATCGGCGGGATGCGGATCAGGATCTGGCGGCGGTCGCGCTGAACCACCAGCTGCAGCCGGCCGCGAGACTTCTCTATCAGCTTCCCGGCGTCGCTGAGGGAGAGGTTCTCCGTCACCGTGCCGTTGATCTGAGGCAGCAGAGGGAGGTCAGAGGTCAGAGAGAAGGAGGGACCGGTTGTGTTGACAGATGGAAAAATAAATACGAGTTAGAAAGAGAAATCGATGGAAAGAAAGAGGAAGATCGGAACGAAGGGATGAGAGAGAGCGGGATTCAGAGGGAGAAACAAGAAGGAGGGAAGAAAACCCAGATAAAGAATGAAGAGTAATCTCTCTCTCTCTCTGTGTTTATTCTAAGTGATTCTGTTTTCAGCTGTATAAACTCTGACTGAGTGAATTTGGCTCCCACCTTCAGGATGATGTCTCCCTCCTGCAGGTTCCCGTCTCTGCCGGCCAGGCCGCTGCTCGTCATCTCCTTGATGAAGAGCTGGCTGCCCAGGCGCAGGCCGTACTCTGCAGGAGAAGATCACAGACATTTCAGATTCACCGTCAAACCTGGACAAGGCTAAACAAATATGTCACATTTTAAAGACAAATCTAGTTTGAATCTGAAAGAAAAACAACAATTTTTTGGAAAAGTTTTGTTCACCCTGAAAATTCATCCTTTGATTTGAACATATTTAATGAGGAAGGAAAATAATCGTAATTTTTAGAGCAGTAAATGTTGAATATTTTCAGCCTCTATAGAAAGATGTAAAGCTTCTCATATTTTTGGCCTGTTTGTCCAAGATTAATAATTTGATTAATAATTATGATACATCAAATTTAATAAATCAGAGTTAATTTCACACTTCAAATGAGAAGATTTACATTTTTTTAAGATTTAAAAGTTGAGGAAGTCACATTTAAACTCAGTAAAGTGTTCATAAATGACGATTTCTGCATAAATCCCTCCTGGTTTAAGCTAGAAAAACTTATATTTTCCTTTATTACTTCAGTAAACTCATTACTTGCATAAGAAAAATCACCACTGGATTCTGGTGAAACTGTTAATATGTTGCAAAAACTACATTAAACCTAATCCTTAGTTATACTGTAATAATCTCGTTTTATGAGCTTAGCTTTAATCAAACATCTGAGCTGCTGCTCTGCTAATCTGTCAGCAACTAAATCAGACTCAAAGAAGAGATGAAGGCCATTAATTAACCTCTCAGGTTTCATGTTAACGAGCAAATTCATCTCCATCCTGCTGTTTAAGATCTGAATTAAAATTATAAAGTCAAATCTGATCAACGTATTTTATCACCAAACTGTGCTGCACATAAATTGAACCACGCTTTAAGGACTACTACGATTTCTAATCGATTAATCACAAATCATCCAATTAGTCACAATTAATTGATTAAAAATAATTAACGTTAATTTGAATAATTGTAATTTCAGCAATTGATTAATCATTTCAGCAAATTAGCCACACATTGAGGACTACTGTTACTATATCAATAATCAATGAATCAATTATTTAAATACATTATTTGGATTGTGATTTCAATAACTGATTTATTATGACTAATTCAATTAATTATGGTTAATCAAGCATTTTGATCATTAAAAATAGATTAATCACAATCAATTATTAAAATCTTGATTAATTGTGACTAAGTAATTAAACATGTTACAGACAATCACTGATTATTAATCTGCTGAATTCAGTAACTGATCAACTGTGATTAATCTAATTAGTAGCGATGAATCGTTTAGTCCTGAAGCGGTCCAAAGCTGAGTCCAATAGAACCGCAGACAGAACAACAGTTTGGGCCGCTCACCTTCGTTGGGATGGTTCTTGAGCAGCAGCACGTTGACGGGTTTCTCCAGCGGCTCCTGGTCGCGGCCCGGTCGGGGCAGCGGGATGGGAACAGCAGGGGGCGACGGCGACCGGTCCAGGCGGTCTCTGCTCGCCGTCCGCCGGACCGGCTCGTTGTACCTCTGGTCTCGGTCGCGTTCGTAGCTCGGGTCGCGCCTGTGGCCTCTGGCGGGGCTGTAGCTGTCCCGGCCGTAGCGCGGCTCCGGGCTCGGGACGCGATCGCTGCGGTAGCGCCGATCGGGGCTGTAGTCCCGGTCGAGGGCGCGATCGCTGCGGTAGCGGCGGTCTGGGCGGTCCGGGCTGTACTCCCGGTCAAGGGCGCGATCGCTGCGGTAGCGGCGGTCCGGCCGATCGGGGCTGTACTCCCGGTCCAGCGTGCGGCCCCTGCTGCCGTCGCGCCGGTAGCCGCGGTCGGGGCTCAGGTCGCGCTCGGCGCTCCTACCGCGGGTCTGGTAGCCAGAGTCGCCGTAGCCGCGGCGCTCCAGGCTGTTGTCGCGGCCGCTGATCATGCTGTGGCGGTCGGCGTCGTAGTTGTAGTCGCTGTAGTTGTCATTGCTGAAGACTTCGGGCGAGACGGCGCCGGGCATCACACTGACCGGGACCTTCTTGGGGCGCTTGACCGTCTGCAGAAGACGGAGAGAAGAAATGGTGAGAGAAACCTCGCAGTCTGGGTTCCTTTAAGTCACGGGTCCAACAGAACTTCCCAGGTTTCTTTGAGAGCAGGACTAGAAAAACACAACAAGCCGTCCAAACAGAGATCTACGCGACGCAGTTCTGTTTTTCCTCATGTAACAAAACCAACTGTCGATGTTAACATGGCAGTAACACAATGATAGTATCATGAAATACTTCATTTAGTGGCCAGGAGGAGAAATATACATTTTAACAACAAAGGAAAGAAACAAGAGCAAAGGACAGAGCAAGGAAAGAAGGAAACAAGGACAAAGAAAGGAAGGAAATAAGCATAGTATGAAAGGAAACATGAAGAAGGCAGGAAGGACACAAGAGCAAGGTAAGGAAACAATAGCAAAGGAAAGAAGAAAATAAAAGCAAAGGAGGAAAAGAAAGAAGGACAAGAACAAGTAAGTAAATAAGGAAACATGAAGGAAAGAAGGAAACGAGGACAGATGGATGAATCCAGTGTAACTGAGTTTTGATGTCAATCTTACGATTTTGGCCATTTTGCCACATTTTCTGAGGGTCTGAACGGCGAAGGAGTGCAGCGCTCCCTCCATGGGCGTGTTGTTCACCAGAACCACGCGGTCCTTCTCACTGAAACACACACACACACACACACACACACACACACACACACACACACATGGGTCAGCGCTCTGACACACACACAGGTCCGTCCCCGACCCGCTGAGATGAAACTCACAACAGCATCCCATCTGCCGGGCCGCCCTGCAGGACGTCCGACACCACGATGGACGTCTCGCCCGTTTCCTCGTTCGGGTTGTCCCGTCCTCCTGAAACCGCGATCCCAAAACCCATTTTGGGATCCTGGAAAAAACAAAAAACAACTTTAAACATTTAAAATCATTTCTAGGAGAAGAGTGTTTTTCCACTAACGACCCGATTTAATCTGGTTTTTATTCCACCTGGTGATGAACCGGTTTTCCCACCAGATGAGATTAAGTTGGAGATTTGATGACCTCGGCTCTTTATCCCTCCCTTCAATCTGAACCATTTATAAAAACAATTCACCGTTTTGCTAGCAGATGGCCGATCGAGCAGAGGGAGGGAGAGAGAGCGCAGAGACAGAAGACGAGCCGCCATTTTGGTTTTGAACTATGTAATAATAAATTATTTTCCAATAAGAAAAACTTGCTTAGTCATGTCTTGCATCTTGACAGAATCCAAACTGTTTATAGATTTATTTATATCTGGAGAGAATAAATATTTTATCTATAAAAATATCAGCCATTCTCTCATCTTCAATTTAAGCCATATTTTACAGAAATCAGGGTGAGAAATAATCTGGTTTTGTGGATGTGACTCAATGACTCTCAGTAATGGCCGCCTGCAGGAGCGTCGCTAGCTTTAGCGGCTAACAGGCGATGTCCAAACCAATCATTTATATCAATGGAGAAATCCTATAATCGTTCAAATCTAATGCTACTCCATTTCTGTTTACATTTGGTGAAGCAGGAAGTTGATCCCTGTGTCTGAGATTTTGTGTTGTTTCCTTCAGTGGTTCTTGGTGCAGCGCCACCCGCAGGCCAGGAGGGGAACAGGTTTTTCAATTAGTTTGGATTGTTTTACTCGGTGCAAAGTGAAAGAACGGCAGCAGCTGAAGAATTGTACAAACGTAGCGTTTTGGTCCCCAATCAAACCGAATCAACCGAACCATCAGGAAAACAACCAAATTGTGTTTAATGTGTTGAATCTGAAATAGTTTGAGAGAAAGTATTTCAGATCCGGTGAAGCTGCCCGCCTCACCTGATGACTCTAATCCAACAAATATCACGCAGCGTTGAGGCATTAGCAGCAGCATCAGATAATGAACGGCAGCAGAGCGACAGCTGGCTGCCGGAGGGGCGGGGGCAGAAAGAAAACCTCTTCCTGCATTAAATCAGCTTCGTTTGCCCTGCACTGCACGTGTTCACAGTCCAACACCATCAAAACACGCAGAGACCTGATACAATTATCAATAATCAAATGACAAACTAAAACGAGCTCAATAATTTCCATTTTCATGATTTATCGTCTTTTTTTTCTCTAAAACTGGATGATAAAAGTCTTCAGTTTGGTGCCAACTAGGCCTTTTTTTTAAAGGATAATTTTGTTTACAGAAACTTCTAATTCACTTTATTTTTATTTGTTTATTTATTTACTTTGGATATTTATAATGGACACAACAGTTCAGATTTAGAGAAGCAAGATACTTTAAAAATGCACAAAATGGTTCAGATTTGGAGCTTTATATACTTTTAAAATTAATTTAGAGCGTTGAAGATTCTCCAAAATGTCCTTCAGGTCCAGTGTTTAATGTTTATTAAAATTTAAATTAAATGTTAAAGTTTGTTGATCTTTGAGATTAATTTCATCCACTATTATTTTTTTATTTCCATTATATTAGTTGAAAATGGTCTCAAAACAATCTCATCGTTTATCACGGTGACTAATGGGACCATTTATGGTCCAGTAAACTTTGTTGTGTTTGTTGGCCTGAACATGCATCAGTTTCTGCTTTTACAAGAAAAGTGAGAGTGTGTCCATCTTTAGCCGTTACTCAGCAATAATTCATCAGCACTCGGAGCAAAGCGCTCCCGGCGTCGTCGTCTTTGTGGTGAATAATGTAAAGATGGTGGCGCCTGAGACTCACCCTCTGCAGGGTCACGGTGTACTGCTCCCACACCGTCTGCTCCATGACCGGGTTCTGGGGAACAACACAAACATTTCCATTTCAGACTCAGATTAATAATGCATTCTGTGATGTAACCAACAAAGCCGCTCCACTGGGCCCGTCGTTACACAAGCAGAGGAACGGCGGCAGCGACGGCCGGCCGCTTCCAGCTGGAGACGCACCGATCGACCGGCCAGAGACCGGAACCAGACGATTTTTCACTCCGGCATATGAGCCGATATGTCATGCAACACTCGGCTGGAAACTCAAAGGACTTTTAAGAAGAGAAATATTGGTTCAGATCAGCGAGAAAAAATCTGATTGGTGCGTCTGAATGAAGTTGCTAACAGTAAATCAACTTTAGTAACATTTTAAAACTATTAAAATACTTTACAAAGGTGCAGAAATCTGAACAACTAAAGCTTCTTTCTTTACAGGACAAAATAAAAATTAATTACGCATTCTTATGTAAAGTGAAGAAAATGTTTAAATATTTTCATTTTGTGTCAATTTAAGCAAAAGATTTTAAACATTAGCATAAAAACCAGGCTTGGTGTGAATCAGCCTTTTGTAGCAACAAAAGAAAAACTTCTGTCTGAATAAATCAAGTTCTCAAAGGGAAATGATGTCACATTTTTAAAAGTAGAATAAATGGGAAAAAAACTGAATTGAAAAAAAAATAATTTGAAGGAAGACATAAAATAAAAATTGGATTTTTGCCCCAAGCAAAAATAAAAATAAGAGTTTTTCTCTTTAACAAAATACAGAAACTGATTAAAAATTTTTTAAAAGTATTAATGAATAAAAATACAGAATTTGTCTAAGTTCTTTTCCCCCATTTAAAATAAAATTAAAAAGGGTTTCCCTTAAAAAAATTGCAGCTATGTGTTAAAAAAATAAAAGAAACAAAACAATATGTTTTTCTTCGTAAAAGAAAATTAAATTCCACTTATTGCCCTCCAAAATATATATATATATAGTCTGACTCAAAACAAGCAGCAGACCAAACACCTGAGGAGCAGGAAGAAAACCTGTGAAAACAGAACTAGAAACTAGAAACTCAAGTTTTCAAGATTCTCCCTAAATGTGTGAAAGACACCAGGCAGTGAAATCACCACAGAGACAAATCTGTAGTTTGGCTTTAAGTTTCTGACTTAAAACCTCCAGAAACCAGAACAGAACATAGAAACCCCGACCAGTTAATCTGTATGAAAGATTTTTTAAAAACCTGCAGATTAAGATTAAACTTGTTCAGGATACAGAGAGAAATTAGAGGCAAAATTCATGTCAGGATTAAATTAAATCAAAACTTTCAATGCAGAAACCTTAAAAACACTAAATCTAAATCCCTTCATTCTCCATCAAATCCATCACACAGCCTCCATGACGAGCCGGGTCCAGCGGCGCGACTCGGACCCAAACCGGGTCGCCGCCGCGGCGGAGCGGCACTCACGAGTCCCTGCAGGATGCGGATGGTCTTGACGGCGTGCGCCCATTTCCTGTGCAGGCTGAGGACGGTCTTCATGGTGGCTTCCTATCCGCGCGTTTCCTGGTTCAGCGGCGGATCGATGTGCGCCACAGCCTCCATGACCACATCTGCACACATCTGCAGCTGCAGCAGCAGCAGCAGCTCTCTCCCTGCCTAACCGCCTTTGACGTAAGCGGGATTCTGCTGGCCTACATTCAGCACAAATCCCACCGTCTGCAGGAAGAGGAAGCAGAGACGCTCCGACTTCTGGGCTGCGTTGAAACGCTCCGCCAGGAAAACTCCAGCACTTCCCCACCGCTTCAGAGGGAAGTTTGGAAACTTTCGCAGCACCGCAATTCAGAGATAAAAATAAATAAACGTGATGTTATTTATTAATGGTGTTACTAAGGTATTGTTACGATGTTCTGCACTCCACTGCAGCTAAAATATAAACGCAGTTAGTGTTAAGAAATGTTTGATTGCTCCAAAAACACAAATTTAACAAAAATTAATTAAAAAATACTATTTTTATTTTGTTAAATACACCAGATTTTTTTTCTTTAAAATAGTTTTTTTTAAATTGACAGATTTTATTGTCTTTTCAAAGAAAATACATTATTTATGTATAACTTAATATTTCTAAAGGAATAACTGTTTTTAAAAATACAGTGAGAAAATGCCCAAATGTTTATGATTCCATTTACTTAAATAAATAAATCATGATTCATTCTTGTTGTTTTCTTGTAATATTTCTTTAAATTACAGAAATTCATTCTGTTACCAACCGATGGGGTCGGGGACCACTTAAAATCCATCTAGGGGCCTCAAATGGCCCGCGGACCACACTTTGGACACCCTGATATAAACCAACCTTTAATCTGATTTAACTTCAGACACTGAGAAAAGAATAGTTTGTTTTATCTGGTTTCAACTGTAAATAATTTCCAAATTTAGGCTTTTAGATTATATTCCAAAACTGTTGAGTTTAGATGCGTGTGAAGACAGATGAAAAATGCAGAGAACAGAAGATGAATAATTGAGAATAAATCAGCGAAAGCTTTTTCTCTGAATGTCGGGATCATGTGATAAACGTTTCCTCTGATGAGGATCAGAATCACAGGATGTGACTTGAACTAATTATTTACAGCAAGAAGAAGAAGAAGGAAAAAAAAATCTACTCTGGGTTTATTCTTAGTCGCCACATAAAGACGTGGATAAAAACCTCTAGATTAGAAACAGGATAAACTATTTGGGTAATTAATCGCATGACGGATTAAAATGAGATCCATAACAGAGACATTATAATAGAGTTTATTTATGGTTTTTATTTATGTTTTATTGTTGGTTTTATTTGATATCTAAAATATCTTCCATTTCTAGTGCTAAACAAATATATAAAAAAATTTCATTGTGTTTTTGATAGGATTCACTTTCATTATTATGTCTTTGATATATTACTTAAAAATAATCTTAAGACAAGAATCGCAACAATAACTGGTACAATTATCATCCAGGAAAATGTGTTATTGTAACAGATCTATGAATAAATGTGCTGAGTTACATTTAAATGATTTCTTTAGAGCCAGAGGTTAAAAGGTTAACATCTGGTTGTTTTTGCGAAGCTTAGCACTGATTTCCAGGCTAAAATCCTTTTGCAGGGTTTCCTCCAGTGTATTATAAGCCTGGCGGGCCACCAGGCTTTACTTGTGCCCCACCAGGCTAAGCATTGCTTACATTTTAAAGACTTTGCATTTTTTAGGACTTTATAGTTGATGTTCAGGTATTAATCTTCCAATATTTAAAGAAATAATTTCTTTAAATATTTCATGTCAACTTTAAACATATTTAACTCAAAAAGACGACGCGTCGCTGGATGAATGACTGCCGAGCGCCCCAACCACCGGGTCAGCAGGTTTTCTGGGGGAAACTTTGCTAGTAGGTCAGAAGACTTGTGCCCCTAGTTGGGTCTGACCCGCCAAGGAGAACGGCAGCGTCATTTCAAGAAACTTTCCTCTGAAGCAAACAGACAGAAAATGCTAACGATCTCCAATGCTAGCTGCGCTAATGCTACAAACTACAACACGGATGTCTAAAAGAAACTTAAATGGGTAAATAAAGCACAAAAATTATTAAAAAGATCACAATTGATAGAAAAAATTTGATGTAAGCCTTAAAAGTAAGACTTAACTACAGCTTAGATTCTACCTGCATAAAAATGGTATTTTCAGAGATAAGAGTAAAAAAAAAAAATCTAAATTAAAACAGGGAATTTAAGACTCAGTTAAGAAAAGCGAGTGGCTACTGTACAGAATCAGAAACCCCCAGTTATGATCCCAGGCTTTTCCACTTATTTAACAATGAAAACAATTTTCACAAAAAGGAGGAACATTTCATATTACATGATACAACAGTAATCAGTCAGATTCAGCTAAAATAAGGAGCCATGTCTTCCTGCAGGAGGCGCTAAAAGCACTAAAACCAAACAGTGGATGCTTCAGAGCGCTGACTCACTGTTACAGGAAATTATGAAACAAAAGTCAAATTTTATCCACAAAACAGATAAAACTTTAACAAGTCAGCAGCCTAAACTCAGCATAAAAAGAAAGAAAAACATTTCTGTGTCACAAAGAAATCAGATCCATTTTGTTCAAACTGTAACCAACAAGAGTAGTTTTTGTAACAAACTCAGGGTCAAAGGTCAGATTAGACGATTCGACTAGACAATACAATCTGCAAGGAATGTGAAAAACTAAATTAGTCTTTTTTAAAATACTTTGACTTCTTTCCAGAAAAATCTCAAACTCAAATCTAAAGAGGATGCTGGGGAAACGTTGTACAGTGGCGCCCTCTGCTGGGAACAAAGCGGCATTACACCATCAATTTTAAAATGAACAAACAAAATAATGGACAAAAAACTAAATTTAATTACAGAAAAAACTCTTCTTACCAAAAACAGATGGAATTTACAAAGGTAAAGAATTGAAAGAAAAAAAATATTTTTTTGACCATAAGAAAAAAAAGCTACAGCATAAATTAGATACCAACAATATTCATCTTTTAGTGAGAAAAAAAAAAGATTTCACAACTTTTAATATCAGATGACTCTGACATTAGCATCTAACATGAGATATTTCACTGCTTTTAAAGAAACAGCAACTATAGCCATCAATTTTTTGACTCATAGGAAAAATAAATAGAAATTTTAATGCTTTAATTGCCATTTTATGATGATATTTTACATGGTATCTCTTATGCATGCATTTACCCAGATAAATTCTACTCTTCCTAGGAAATCCTTAAAAGTCTCTTATGAGGTTTAAAACATTTAATCTATTTGTAAAAACTGGAAAAAGACAATTTGGATTGAAATATCCTACACCAATCAAAATTTTTTATTATTTAATCCACCATTTCAAACCCAATAAAGAAATTCCAGTTGCTGCTACTATGGTCAATTTTTAGTTTTTATTGATAGAAATGTGATTTTAGCAGAAAATGTGCCAGTTTTTCATTTTAAAGCACAGTTTTGCACATGTTGCTGCAGACAGTCAGCCAGCTGGCTGAAAAACCTCCATGTTTTTTTCTCATACTGACAAGAAAAGACTAATTTGTCGCTTTTGAAATGCATCTAGTCACACAAAACAATCAATTTGAAATATTTGCATGTAAATACAACAATATTTTAACAGCCTGGTAAATGTATACTCTAATTTTTGCAGGGATTATCAAACTTTCTTCCCACGGATGATTAAAAGTCATATTTGTGACAAAGTTATGTGGTTTCTAATAACAGAAAGGTGCAGTTTTATTCATTTAAAATGGGTCTTAATTTCAAAATGCCAGCCTAGATGAGGTCAAGTTGTAAAAAAGTGGAATCAATCTAACTTGATTATTAGTTGATTGATACACAGTTTGTCATAAACGCCAACATGATGTTCATAATAAGTTTTTATTTTATAGGTTTGAGTGAAAAAGTTCCAGAGGATCACCGACTGTGTTTTAATGAATGTTAAATTTTCAGTAACTGGGTTCAGGTTCTGGTTCTGGCCTGGAGCTGCTTAATTATCCATTTAAAAACTGTGGAATAGCCCTTTACAGGAGCATCCAAACGGACGCCAACTTCGGCGCCGTCCTATCAGCAGGTGCGGCAGGATGCAACAGGCTTCAGTTGGATCCTTAGGGGGAAAAAAACCCAAACATTCCCGGTTTTCCCCCTAAAAACGGCCACACGAACCTCTATGAGCGCCCCAGTGTCACTTCTACTCCCGGTGGAGGTTTATAAGTCCGGTTTGTTTGAAAAACGGAAGATACTCACGGTTAAATTGCGGGGCGGATATCTTCTCAGAGGGAGCAGGGCCCCTCTGTTCTGGCATCACGCACTTTGTACCGTCCCGGACTGGTACCACTGTTTCCAACCGAACTCCCAGACTGGACGAACGTTTCCGGGTGGCACGTCGGCCGAAGCGACGGATAAAAGTTGGAAAATACACAAGTTTAAAGATTTAGAGCCACTTCGGCTTGACTTTAAATCACGAACTTCGCTCCCTAAAAAAAAACATTAAAAAAAACTAGCGCCGAGGGCTGTGAGCTCGAGCCGGACTGAACCAACGCAGGCAGCGGCGGGGGGGAGACGCCTTCACAAATAGTCAGGATAAATCCACTCCGATGTGAAAACCTCCTTATCACCACACTACTAAACCACTTCTCTCAAATTTAAACGTTTCATAGCCATTAAAATCAAACCGGAAGAATAAAGATACATTTACACAAAAGATGTCAGGTTTTTAACCCTTGTCGGATGGACTAGTCCGAATTTCCCATTGATTTTTAAAGCTATGAAGCTCCCAGGCGGACAGAACAAAATATGACACAGGAAAACGAGATCTGAGCGTTATTTATCTATTTTTAAACGGGCTAAAAATAAATCTGCATCACAGACAACGCAATGACTTATTACACTCCCACATAAAAACAAATTTTAAAAAATCCCTAACTGCAACATCTAGCATTCAAAGCATTCACAGCTTTAAAACTTTTTCCACATTTTGTTCCATTACAACCGAACCTTTAGTTTATTTTATTAGGATTTTATGTAGCAAACAAAAGGAAAAGTTTTTATATGTTAATGAATAAAAATCTGAAGAATGTGGTATGCACACATGTTCTTTAGCCAATCTGAGTTGGAGCTATTTTGCAAAGAGTACTGGCATAAATGCTGGACTTTGTGTTGGTTTATCACATAAAAACTAAACAAAATGCATCCAAATTAGTGGTTTTGAAAGTTAAAAGTTAAGTTTAAGATATATTAATATTTTATGAAACTATGCTATAAATAATTTCTCCCTAAACAATCCATTTAGAATACTTTAAAAATAAAATGTAGTTACTAAACTATGAATTGTCTCTAACAGGTTAAAACAAATTTAATTTTATGTATGTTGCATTCTAAATATAGTTGCTTTTATGACTACTTTTGTCAATAATTGTACAAAATTGTTGGTATTATCCAGGTGGAGAAGTCAGTTAATTTGATCTTTTGGGTGTTTTGTTGTCCTAAATAAATATTACCTCGTCATAATCTTCTAATAAGACCAAACCAAATTGTTTCCATACTCTGCCGAACTATAAAAGGAGACTATAAGTCGAATTATCCAGGCAGATAAAGCAGGGATTATCCCAATTATAAAATCAAGGATTAGTCCATGAAAAGAGGTTCCCAATTAAAACAAAAAATGAATCCAAAGTCTAGCAGATGAATCATGGCTGCAATTATTTCAATTTGAAAATGAAGGATATTTCTGACTCATAACAAGCAGATTGTTTTCATTGATTTTTAAACCTTTATCCCATATAAATGTGATTTTTGTCATTTCATTTCTTACTCATTGTAGCTGTATTTCTCATACAAATTGTTTTTATATATGTTTAATTTTTTTCTATTATTGTGCCTCCTTTTTACTCCTTTATGAAAATTTTTACCATTTATTTTATATCATATTTTCACTTTCGTTGTATAGTTAATTTTGCTCCTCTTTATTTGAATTTTTATTGTATATTTTACTTGAATTGAATGCAGTATTTTGTTTTCTTTTAGCAGTTAGCTCCTAATATTCACCCGGTTATCGATCCCAGCCGGCCAAAAATAGCTAAAACCCTTAAAAACTCCTTCAAAACGTTTATAGCTGTTTATTTTAATCGCACAAACCTCAAATATAATAAATATACATTAATTCACAGAGTGGAGATCATTAGCTAGCTAGCGCTGCCGCAGAAGCTAACAAGTCTTCCTTTGGCGTATTAGCCAATCAGCGCAGAGCAAAATAAAGGCGCTCCTGGATTGGCTCTTATAAAAACGGCAGCCAATAGCGTGTCACGTAGCATTGTACCTAAGCTTTCTAGCTTCCAGTCACATAAAAATCTGAATACAAAACCGCAAATAAGCGCATATTCACTGTTTGAGTAATAATACTGATAAATTATTTTATTTTTAGCCTGTTTTGGAAACATCAATCAAGTTAAAGAAGTTTTTAATCTCAGCAGTTTAACTTCCTGGATGAGTAAACATCTGTTTCAGGTTATAGCTACAGTGAAACACAAATAAGTTAATTTCAAAACAAATGCAGCTCCTCTGCACTGTGGACACACCTCTGACTTTTTTCTGGAAGAGGAGTCAGTGTAGTAGAAATAAACACATTCCAGGGCTGCTGAAAAATGTCAGGCACAGCTCAAAATAGGCCAACCTTATGCAAAGCAGCCTCCCTGACCTGAATTATTTGTAAGACTGAGCCATTAAAAACAATGAAGCTTTCTGCATTCTGACATGTCTCCCTGGTTAATCATCATCCTGGGTGGGGGAGAGCAGCAGGGGGGATCTCTGCAGGAGAGGAGTGTTCAAAAACCATGATAAAAAGGAAAGAAGCAGCAGACTGGGAAACACTGAGTCACTGATTCTTTTAATCCATGTCAGCACACTGACTCTGCTTTCTGAATCATCCGTTACAGGATTACAAAGCGGCTTCATTAGAAGGTAAAAAACTGCGATTTCCATTTGGACAGAAGCTCAAAAATGAAACCAAAGACAGAAAGACTGACGCTAATCTTCCAGAAGAGAATTAGCAACATCCATAAGATATGATCAGACCTAAACTAAACAAACAGAGGGAAGTTTACTGGATTTCAACGGCTTGCATCCATTTTAAACCAGATTTCTATCTAACATTTCCCTAAAGGAAGCTTCAACAACAACAATCTATGAAGTTAAACTCAAATACATAAGGATGAAAGTAAACACTGCATTTTAGTCGAACCCATTACATACAAACTAATGGCACACAAAGTGATTCCAGGCACTATTTCTTGTTAGTTTTTCCAGGTAAGGCCTTTAATAATACAAAAGTTTAGTGGAAGGAAAATCTCTCCAACCTGATATGTAAACGACATTATTCACAAGGACAACAAGCCACACTAGGTTATTGCTAACAATGCTGGTTTCAATACAGCACTGTATGCAAATGGAAAGTTTAGTGGAAGGATAAAGTATAGTAGAAAAACCTGATAGTTGTTATCCAGAGCATAAATGACATCGTTCACAAGATAGATAAGCCACAAATGTCCTTCCCAACAATCACAGAACGCTCTACCACTATATAAATGGAAAGTTTAGTGGAAGAAAAAATGACAGTTGAAAATAAATAAATAAATAAAGACTCCAGAATGTAAAGGACATTCTTCATGAGGAGAATTACACAAAAAGCCATTGTAAATAATATTTTCTGATCACAAAATGCTTTGTTTACAGAGAGAAAGTTTAGTGGAAGGAAGAAGTGTTGTAGAAGAAACCTCTCACCTTCCAGAGAATAAATTATTTATCCTCCATTGCAAGAAGAATAAATCAGAAAACATTTCCAACAATGCTGAATGTTCACAGAGTGCTGTATCTTATTGTGAAAGTTTGGTGGAAGGTAAAAGTGTGTCAGAAAAAAAAAAGCTGTGATATGACCTGAAATGACATTCTTCACACAAAGCATAAGCCATCAAACACCATTATGAAATGCTTTATCTGTTACTAATAACTTTACAGAAATTAGGATTGAGCATTTCAAAAATGTAAAAAAATATATTTTTAAAAACAGAGGAAAAAAAGAAAAAATATACAAGACAAAAATGGAAAAAGAGGAAAAAACCAACCCATTCAGATCTACAAACTGAATTTGACAAACATCTCAACTGCAACCATAACCGCTGTTCATTTGGTGACATTTTAAACTCTGGGTAATAAATAAAATCCCTTTCACAGCAGCTGCAGCGTCATAGCAAAGCTTCCTGACCCCAAGCGCTGACCCCATGTTAACCCCTAAACATGGCGGACGCTCCGTCTCCCACTGTCAGCTTGTGCAACGTACCATGGTGATGGCGGAGAAGCTCCTCGACGACAGGCGGCGAAGATACAAGTACTGGGCTTCTCTGGACCAGCAGAACTTACGGCTGGACTTGAGCAGGTCAGTACTGGTCTGGTCAGAGCAACTCTGGTCCCTGAGCAGAAGAAAAACTCAGATCAGGGGCGTGTCAGAGGGTAAAGGATTTATGAAGTTATAAAAACTGATCCCAACATGACCAGCTGGGTAAAACTAATCAATTATCTGGATCATGACAAATTTATTATCTCATTAAACTGAATATAATGAATGAAAAGCTTGGAAATCAATAGAAGTGTGCTAAAAAGGGTTGTACGGAATCATATTCCTGCCAAAAGTGCTGAGGAGCATGTTAAGCAAATTAAAACTGCAGATTTAAAACTGATCGCAGGCATTTTTATTTATTCATTCTGATCATTTTTGTTGGAAAACTTGTGCTCTTAATGTTTACTGAATATTTGTCAGACAGGGGAGAATAAGGTTCTCATTCTCATTTTCAGCACAAGTACAGTGACAGCCAACATTAACGCCAATACAAGAGGAGGATGATGACAAAGAAGATACGAAGGTAAAGAACAGGAATAGTTGTAATTTTTTTTCCACTTAATTGTACCGTGAAGATTTTTAGCATCAATGTGACGCCGTATAAAAGGACCCAAATTTATCCCGTCACCATTGAAAATTATGCAGATCCCAAATGAGACTAAATAAATTTAGAAAACTGCTGCGAAGACATAAATGATGGTTATTTAATAAATTACTTCCTGTACACTTAATTATTGCAGCACAGAGGTTCTCAAAATGGGGTCGGGGACCTCTGAAGGGTCGCAAGACACCAAGAAAATGCATTTTTCCAGATTTAATTTAAAAGTTGGTTTATTAAAACTTTTGCTTCTAAAGTAAGAGATTAAGCTATAGCAATAAATTTCATCATCTTTGTGCCAATAAAAACCACAAACACCATTTTCAGTTTTTTAGCTTAAAATGTAATAAAAATCAGAGAAAACCCAACATTGCACAGTCATTGTCAGCAATACTAAAAACAGAATCTGATTGTATTTCTGGAAGCTGATGAGCCGTTGAGACGCTGTGGCCCCAAGGTTTAAATTTTTAACGAGGCTTCTGAAATATTTAGAGGGAAAGTCTCAGCGGCCGAACTGTCAAACTGTCAACTCTTCAGTCTGAATCACCAAACCCTTCAGACTCTCAGGATCCGCCTTTAGCAAGCCCAAAACGCACTCCGACCTCTAAAACCTGCAACCAGACCAACGTTTGGGTCAGAACATCATTATCCATCCTTTTATTTCACCAATAATAAAACTCATCTAGTGAACATCAGCTGTGATTGGATGACGGACGAAGCTACAGACGATGAAAACAAAGATGTTTCTCGCTCTTTCTCAGCCTGACTAACCGTCAGCGACATGATCAGGCCTCTGCCAACATGGCTCTCGCTTCCCTCGCCACGGTTCCCATGGTAACCGGTCCCCGAACAATGGCTGATGCTGCCAGCGACGCGCCCGCAGCGACGCGCCCGCAGCGACGCGCCCGCAGCGACCACAGCGACGCGCCCGCAGCGACGCGCCCGCAGCGACGCGCCCGCAGCGACGCGCCCGCAGCGACGCGCCCGCAGCGGGGAGGATGTGGGAGACGGTGGGAGGGTTTCTGATGGCGACGTTTCAGGAAATCAGCTGCTGAGACGATCCAGGGAAACATTTTCCTCCATCTTTGTCGCACCGACTAGCTTCTTAAAGTTTTTATCATAAAGTCACGAATTTATCCCCGTAACCAACATCACAACTGTGTGCTGGTAATATTTTATTGAGGTACGTCTTTTTTGTACAACTTTATCCGACTTCAGTTTTACAACTTTATTCTGAAAAATATTAAAACTTTTCATAATATTATGACTGTTGTACAACTATTCTCTACTAAATATTACGTTTAATTTGTAATACGTCTATTGTCATTTAATATAACAACTGTCATTAAACTACTGTTGTATTTTTATAATATTCTTGAACGAGTTAATTGGTAACATGCATCCTCATGTAATCTTACTATTATCTTTAATGTCTTGCTCCTGTTTCTACGACTTTATTCTCATTGTGTATATTTGCGACTTTGCAACGTTTTATTCCACTTTATACTTCAGCCGACTGTTTTCTGAAGTGCATTCACACCTAAAGGACCAATAGGGGAAACGAACCAAAGGTCTCAGGTGTGAATATGGGAAACCAGACCACTGTTCTCCGGGAACGGCTGACGGAAAGTCAGGAGTTTGTTGTGTTTTCTGGATGCAGAAAACGCTTTAATCAGACATTCTTAAGGAGCATCTTGTCCTCTAATACCAAAAGTGAGCGCCGTCTCAACCAGATATTTTCTCAGTAATTCCTCTTGCAGTTGAAGTTTCTTATTAAATTCCTTTCATGTGTGTCGGTGCACAAAAAGGCCGATTCAGACAAAGATTTTCCCTCCGAGAATAAAACAGAAAACAAAAGGTCAGTCGTCCTGACATTTCGTCTCTGTTTGCTCCACTCAAAAAACCTGAAGCAAAAGTATATTAGATTAAAAACAAAGATCAAATCAAGCCAAAGGACTGGAAGAAAACTGAACGTCCTCTCATGACTCAACAGCTGCAACATTTAAAGCAACCCTCATTTCTAAAGCAACAACATTTCCATTCTGGTTCTGCTCAGTCGGGAAACTGGACAAAAAGACCTTGAAAGTTTAAAGAGCTGATCTATGAATGCAACAACGTCTCCTTTTGTTTCTGTTTCAATATATTCTGTCGTGACGCAGGGAGGTCAAAACCACCAGATATTCAGCTCTTCCTCCTCCTCCTCTTCCTCCTGCTGCTGCTTTCAGTTCACTGGAGCAACAAAGTCTGGACTCTCATCCAAAATATCAACAAAAGGCTCCAGTTTTCACCAAAAATAAAACACCCTTTAAAACAGATTTCAGAGTTTTTTGGGGTATTTTCCAAGTTATTAATCAAGGGTGTTCAAAATAGGGTCCGTGGGCCGTTTGTGGCCCTTCAGTACATTTTCTGCGGCCGACCCAATCAAAATTAAAAAACAAATTAAATTAGGAGAAAAACAACAATTTGGAGTTGGAATTTGTTAGATGAGACACAAAGTGATCAGCTTTTCCAAGTTTCTTGCTTTCCTTACATTGTCATGATAACCGATACACAATCCACACGACGACTTGTAATCCAAGTCACAGATCAATGTATCCAAATCGGTTCTGAATTCCTGTATTGAAACTACAGGAAGGGAATTAAAATAAATTAGATCCTGTTTTTATTTATGAGAAAAGACAAAATTTTGAAAATTGAGCCCAAAATACATGCAATTTTAATTAAATATTAAATTAAAATAGTCCTTTTTAGTTTATTGTTTTAAAAAAAACTGGATCTGTTTTAACCATGAACTATCTCATTTTTGTTGTTGGTTTTTGTTTTAGTTAAATTATTTCAACCCATAAATACTTTTGAGCTGTTGATGTTGGCTCTTGTGAAAGTATTTTTAATTTAAAGCATTTTTTCCTTTCATTTTTTGACAATATGGCTGCAGAATTGCTTAAAATGACTGAATTACTCTAAAATCAAAGAGCCAGATTTAGGCTGGATCCCATCCATACAATCAGCATAAATATGATTGCAGTGAACAAATTATTACAAAAATAGAGAATAATGGTGATAAATATTTTTTGTTCTAGATTTTTGGTGCTGATGTTATTTTTAAAAGCTGAAATCTTAAAGGTACAGAATCCACCTGTTCCTTCCCTGATTCAGACACTGTTGTTTCCTGTATTTGTGGGAATTGGACGGAGACGTCCATCTCACCCCGGGGGTCTCCACAGCTTCCTGCCGGGCGGCATCAGCTCCCGTTTGTTGAGGGGAACGACCCCGATGGCCGCCTGCATGATGGTGATGAACTTCTTAAACTTCATCTTTTCTCTTTTTTTTTTAAATCTCTAACATCCATCAGACCGCCGCTGCCGCGTCCGTCTCGCGTCCTCTCGTCTCGTCTCGTCTGACTCATCAGATGCTCCGTCTCCGCTCCTCACAGCATCCGCTTCTCCATGGCAACGAGGCTGGGATCCAGAGCGGAGGTCGGCGACATCACCGCCGCCGCCGCCGCCGCCGCTGCTGACGGACCGACGTCCCTTTGGCTTCTCAGAGCGGGAGGCGAGCCGCCACGCCGTCGCTGGGAGCTGGGATGGCGTCACGCATACATAATAACAGCGAGCGTCTCTGGGCATTACACTAATGAAAACGCTGCTTCTGCCTCCGCCACCATCATCATCATCATCATCATCATCATCATCATCGTCGCTGCTGCTGTCAGAGCCGCTGGGATAATTGTGTTACTAAGCTCTGACAGATCATGGAGGCTCCCCGCCCCCATAATCCCCCCATGGAGGCTTAGTCTTCTCGCCACTTAAACAGCGACCCGTCTACTTCAGCCGACACACCCCCCCTCCATCAGCACAGCTACGGAACACCAGAAATGTCCAAACTACTCAGACACATCTTCACATTGGTCTCATTTACTCGTTACTTTTCTGAGAGAAATTTACTTTTTACTAATTTTATTATGAAGTATTTCTGCTCTTTAGTAAATTTCTGGATTTTCTACTCACTGAAGGAAAAACAAACACGTTTCAGCCAGAAATTCAAACACAGTCAACACCTGCAATTTTTGTTAAAGTTTCATAAGTTTTTATATTGAAAGAAACTGATTTGGAAACATTTTGCCTGAGTTGAGTTTACATTACAAATGTGACCAAATTAGTTTATAATATTGTGCGTTTTATTTCACAATTAAATTAAAAACAGTTAAAAATAATGTGTTAATGTTTTGATAATTAAAAATCATGCCGTGGTTTTTCTTTCTTAAAACTAGATATGGAAACCTTTTGTCAACTACTTTAATTTCTTGATTAGCGAACAGTTTGGATCTTTTAATCCAAACTGTAATAAAAGATCAACAGAGCTAAAATGTGCAAAGTTGTTTCGTCAAAACCAGCTCAAATATATAAAGATCAGTTAAAATAAGATAATCGGCTTAAGTTAAGGTTATCTAAGCCAAAGTAAACCGAGATAAGCTAAATATGAAAATAATGCTAAAATATGCAATAATAAAGTATATTATGATCAAATAAAGTAAATTAAATTGTTTCCATGCTGGTTATTTGCATTTTGTCATGAATTATGACTTTGCTTCATGCCAGGATTTTACTTGCTCAGTATTCAGAAGCAGCCTGAAGTCAAACTGGAGCCGTTTCATCAGCCAAGAATGTGCTGAGGTTTGCTACACCGTTTGGCCCCGACTTGCTCAAACGTCCACCAGGCTCAAAAAATACACATTTATGATGTTTTCCTGCATGTTTTTCCCATCTTCGTTTCTAGATTATTAAGTTTTTAAAAATAAACTTCTGTATCGTCTCCTGATGTAAAGTCAGCAGAGCCAGATTAATAATCCACCATCCAGTCTCCAGATGACAGCAGATATGCGTGTCCTGGGGGGTTCAGATAATAAATATTAATCTATGTGCCCTCCCGATGAGATGCCAGCTAATGCTCCGAATGGGATTTGTGCTCGACCAGCCTGGGCCTCTGGATTACGGCTTTGGATGGTCGAGCCACGAGAGCTGCTGCAGATTTCAGAGCAGGAAAAATAACAACAAGGAAGAAAACCACCAGGGGGAATAAACTGAGAAAGTTATCATTGTTGTGCTGACGTTTTAGTCATAAGCTTTCCCACCATATTTGGTTCAACTGCAGAGAAAAATTGCAATATTAGTTACATTTTCAGCTGCTGTTCTTTCCCACTGCACTGAGTCAAATGAACCAAACCGATGAAAAACCTGTTCCCCTCCTGGCCTGTGGGGGCGCTGCACCAAGAACCACTAAAGGAAACGACATGAAAACCTTTGAAGACAAATGTAAACCAATATGGAATCAGATCTTAGCAATTTTGTTTTCCTTTGGATAAATCCCACATACCATTTCTGCTACTAGCGCTAGGCTAATGCGATTGTTTCAGTTGCATTTTTCCCAGACTGCCCGGCGCTGTCGTCCACTTCCTGCTTTTGGAACGGTCTCAGTCCGCTTGGCGTTCACATATACAGTCGAACCGAATCAGAGTTCGATCGTAAATCCGCCTCTCCTCAAACAAATCAAACTTTCTAAGCAAATGAAATGAAGCTGAATTAAAGCGGATTAAACAGAACTAGTGTCAAAACATCCAGAAAAAAAAAACAAACGATATTAAATTGTCTGAAATTTCATGTCTTAATTACTACTCTGGATATTTTGTCTTTTAAGCAAATGGCTTTTGTTCAAGTCTAAATATATTCCAATTAATTAAATTATTAAACTAGTTGATGCTTCAATCATTGATTAATCAAAGCTAATCCGATCGTTTCTGCCCACAGGCATCAAAATGAATTGTGAAGCTAAAATCACCCCGAAATGATATTTAAATGCGTTTTGAACCGATTTCATCTCCAAAATATGTTGCAGATGACTTTAATCATGCATTAAGGACTAAAAGCGTCTGAGGTTCCCATGATTAATTATAGAAGACGGCGGAGGCGACTCAGCCCTGCAGCTAACTCCTTTGTTGCTGCACGTTTTCTGTTTCTCACCAACTTTCTATTTTTACTTCCTCAACCGGGTGAGCGAATGTGGCGGGAGTTGCTTGGTCGTCTTAATGCCTTTACATAAGCAGGTTGTTTCTCCGGTCCTTGTCACTTCCCCACGTGTGGCGTAGTGGCACGGTGGCGCCGCGTTCCCCCGGCCCGAGGCCATTACGCAACGTCCAAATGCAGTGCATGTGCGCGCCAGATGGAGGGACACATGCCAGCCGCCACTCTGTGGCGAGAGCGTGCGGAGGGAGCGAGGGAGGAAGTGGACGAGAGAGATTGACAGGCGGCGAGCACATGCTCTGCACAGGTGGAGTCGGGATCATCAGGGATGAGAGACGGGAAAAAATGTCTGATTTTTCAATCTGCAGGGACTGAAAAGTTGTTTCTCTTTCCTGCGGCGGCGGCAAGGAGATTAAATAAGCAACTTATCTGATACTGTATCTGATGTTTCCAACAAATGGAGGAGAAAAACCCTGGCGTTGTTCATATGAACGAGAAAAATCAGACTTTCTAACATCCTATTAAGATTAACGATTATTTTAATAATTGATTATTCTGGCAATTAATCAAAAACAAAAGACTTTTCATTTAAGCCTTTTTCTACCATATCATAAATATATTAAAATATATATTTACATTGCTTTTTAAATAAGAAAATAAACATTTTATTGCCTAAAATGCAGCACAGTAGCATTACTATAGTGACAATTTGTAGTAAAGGAAGAATCTGTTGGATTTAATCTGATGGTTATTCTATGGATTAATTGCTGTTTTGAGACGATTTAAGTAATTTAATGGCATAATAATAAAGAACACATTCGCAAAGACCAATAAACTTGAAATGCTATTGAACATTTAAGACATTTTAAATACCCAAAGTAAATAAAACATAAAATCAATTCTCTCTGTAAATATAAAATAAAATCCAATCTGAAGTTGGAATGTATGAGATTGTTTTCAAAGCGTGTGAAATCAGTTTATCTGATTCTTACATCAATAAATTGATTTCAGCTTGTAGACTTAATAGTCTGACCAGTTTCTCCAGTTAAAGTCTCTTTAAATTGTCTATTTTGTCAACTGGGGGACGTAAACAACTCAGACTGTATTTAAAACTGAGTAAAGTTGTTGCATAATCTCAATTTTCTTTGTGTTATTAATACCAGTAAAAGCTGGTCAGGACTGCACAGCGTTTCTTTTCAAAGCAATGCTTGGCAAACGCAGCCGGTTGAGCAGATAAAACGCCTCCCTGCTGCGCTGATCCATAACAAACACAGAGGGAGGATCAAATATTTTAACCAGCAGGCCTCACTGCCTCTTCTTAACCCGTTTAAAAAAACATTTCTCCTTCCTCGGCTCAATGGAAAACTGCAGCCAGCCCACTTCTCCCTGAAATGTTCAGTTTTAGTAACCAGGAGAAAAGAAATTTGACTCATTAAGCAGGTTCTCCAACCGGTTCCACGGATCAGCATCTATATGCCTCCATTACGTCAGAAAAGGTCATTATGTTTGACAAAAGCCCAATAAAAGCAACAAGAACTGAACGCCAACAGATCGGGAACAATGAAGAGGAAATGGAATTAAAACTGAAGAAGTTCCAGTGATTAGAAATGATTAACTGACCATAAACCTAAAAATAAACGACTAAATATCAGGAATTTAAAGACTAACGGGAAGGTTTTCCTCATATTATCACATTTTCCTGTGTTATTTAAAGGAAATACAATTATTTGAGTCAAACAGGATTATGGCTTGGAAAGTTATAAATGCTAATCACTGACCAGTTTTAAAAGATGTTTTTGTTTCTTATTTCTTCCATAGTATAAAAATCTATTTTGTAATTTTAAAAATGCAGTTAAATATTTTATAAATTCTGAAGAAAATTTCTAATTCTTCATCTTTTTAACTAACTTCTTACAAACCTAAAAACTTAAAATTCTTTTTTTAAAAAAAATCCAATTATTTAAATATTTTGCAATTAAAATAAACACTTTTTTTAACTTCAAAACTTTCAAAATCTAAACATTAAACTGGTTTTGCAAAATAAAAAAAAAATGAGGAAAAAGTTTAGTAAAAAACAGAAAGATGAAAAAATATCAGATTTCTATTATGATCATAAACTGCAAATTATTTTACTAAAAGTATTAAAAGCTAGACTACCAAAGGAAGCCTAAACAATTTATAGTTCAGGAAAGGCAAATAATTTTTGTAAATAATGTGTTTTACGCTGTTCAGACTTTTATTCCAATACAAAATAATCTACATCTGCAGCGTCTTTCAAATCTAAAAGCCATAAAATCAAATTATATATTTGTATTGATCCTATTTAAAACTATTTTACACCAAATCAGAGAATTTTGAATAACTGCCACATATTGAAACTCCATGTCTGAAACATTTTCTGTCATTTTTACCGCGAAAAGAGAAAAAGTATCAAAACTGAATTTATGCTTGAGGCCTAAAAGTTGAGAAGAAATTAAATTATTTCTGTGAAAATCCATTTTTCTCTTGAAAAGGTCATTTGAAAATGTGAAAGTGAATTAAATATGTTCCATAAACCCCATTAGAGGTTAAAGGCAGTGGAGAACTGTTTGGTCATGCATGACACACCTGAGGCTCCCTGAAGGCCACACAGACAGACACGCCGTTTGTTCCTGGATGAACGCCAACAGAACCGGCCTGGACTCGAACTGGGTCAAATTACCATAAACTAACCCTTTAATTCCACCTTAAAAGCGCACTAAAGGTGGTTATTCCACCTTAAACCGCCTCAGTAAGTCATTATTTCTCGGTCCGTGTCGCTTTCTGATCCAACATGGCTGAGAAACACGGAGAGAAAAACAACAGAGGCGACATTTGAGCGCGCAGAACAGGGCGGACTCACCTGGCGAAACCGCGACTTTCTCCCGGTTCTCCCGGTCCAACGCAGGTTTTATCCCGAGCTACCGGCCCGGGCGGGGAGGAGGTGGGCTGGAAGGGGTCTTCAGCGGGGAAAGGTATCGGTGGACGTTCGGGAGAAGTCCATATATAATCGCTCTTCCTGGTTGTGGCAGGTATGTGGGCGTGGCTTAGTGATTTCAGGTGTGCAGTTGAAACCGCGGTGGGTGCGGCTGATGGTATCGCTGCTCTGACTCATCACTGATTTACTGAGTGGATTCAGACCCAGCTGCTCTGCAGAGGGAAATACATTCAGTCACACTGAACACGGATTCATGAATTAAACAAAATAAAATCTATTTATTTAAATAACATGTTGAAACTGGTGAACTGAGTCCAGGTTCTTATTCTGAACTTTGAATAAAAACCACAGGAAGTCCGTGATGTTTCTATGTCTGTCTGATTATATGCAGCATATTAATAATTGATCCTCAATAAAGAAAAAAAACAACAAAGTTTTGTTTGACTTTGTCCTCGTAGTATTTATTTTATTATTTAACAAATTAAATAACAGATACAGCAACAAAACGGATGGATGAGTGGATGGATGGATGAGTGGATGGTTAGGGCTGTTTAATGGATGAAGTTTGTTTCCCTCTGTGACCTTTGACCCCTCCCTGCGGTGCTTCTCCAGTGGTTGGCTCAGATCTTCCTGCTGGGGTCGGACCTGGTTCCGCTGAGCATCAACCGAACCTCCCTGGTCCCTGTGGGGGTCCGGTGGAGGCGCCGCGCCTCGTTCCCTCGACCACGAGATCCAGGATCAGATACTGGACACAAACACTGGGAACTCACTGGGACAGGAAGCCGGACTGGAGCAGGAAGGAGCAGAGCCGCCTCCTTTTCCTGTCAACGGGTTCTTCAGCATCCGACGGCGTTTTGTCTTCTGCCTTTCACACACACACTTCTGTCAGCTGACAACAACAAGGCGGAAAGTCACTGGAAAAACACACTGGAAAAACAAACTGGAAAAACAAACTGGAAAAACTCAAAGTTTTACCAAGTATGTTACAGTTTCTGATCCAAACACTTTAGTTCACTTCAAATAAAACTAAACTAACTTGTAGTAACTTTTCAGTGGGGAAAAAAATCTATAATTCCTAATATTTCTTAGAAAGCAACATGTCCTCAGGCAGTTTATGTCATTCATAACGAGGAGGAAAATATCTCGTTATAGTGACATAATCTGCCCATTTCCCAGCAACCCCAGCAGAAACCCCTGTCACCTAGCAACTAAAACCTAGCTTAAAACATGTTACAATTTTTTACACAAAAATCTTCATAGATAATAAATAATGGCTATTTTTACAACATGTGACAAAATCTGCCAGGGGAAATAATAATTTATCAATATTAAGGAATTATTTCCTTCAAGTTACATTTTAGTTTTGTCTTATTTAGAGAAAACTAAGATATTTGCATGAGAGACAAAAACTTATTTAGTAGGATCTGCTGGATGTTTTTCATTTATGAAAAAAAGAAAAGAAAAAAATGTTAGAGAGCCAAATTTTTTGTGCAATTCTTGAATTGTGGTCAGGGCCACACAAAACTTATCCGAGGGCCACAGATGGGCCCCAGGCTACACTTTGGACACCCCTGGTTAGCTTTCATAGCTTGTTTTATCACTGCATTAATCAAAGAGGCTCCAAATGTCCTATGACTGAATAATCTATATAAAAATGAATAAAAACAGGGGTTATCAGTAATTTATAAACTCATTTTTAAAATAAATAACCCTTAGCATAATGCTAAGTACTCAGGATTAAAGTCAAATCAGAATAATTATGTATACATATTTATATATAAAAGATGAATTTCTCTGATTATGAGTGAACATAAAACAAAAGATCACAGATAAACTTTAGGACTGTAAATAATTTATTTCCAGAAATTTACAAATTTATTCTTAAACACCACAGAGAAACAAATTTGGTTTAAACACAATATGTGAACTAAAGCCAAACAAAGACAAAAAAAAAAGCCTTTTCACATAAAATCAGAATTTGTTTAAGGTATTTTAAACAATCACCTTTTATTGGATAATCAAAACATTTTTGACAATGTAGCTAAAACGAGACAGTGGCTGTAAGTGTTACTATGACAACACAGTTTGAAAATTGAATAGTTAAAAACAAAGTTAAAGGCTGAGATGCTCCGTCTTGACAGTTTGCATAACATGTTGCAGGAAGTTTAAAACTAATATTTCTACTACTGTATCTATCTATAGCATTTGTAGCTGAGAAATTAGCATGTCATGCTAACATGCTAATGTTCGCCTGTTTCTTCAAAGCAGTTTTCGTGCATATGGGTTGCTATGGAGACTTACTGATTAGTTCATGTCACAAAAATGTACAGCTGTGTCCAGATGCTACTAGGCTCACACAGTAACTACAAAACAGCTATGCTAATCTTTAGCATGCTAACAGACTAAGATCTTCAAATTAAGAAAGCTAATGTTTGGTATTATTTATTCATCCCTGAATTTTTATGTTTAACTTCCAAGCACTTAGACAATCTTAAATTGTCTTAAATTGTCCTGATTGTCCATCTGCTGGCCAATCAAGCAAAGTAATATTGTCACTGAAATAGATTTTGGTGTCTTTGACAGGCTTTGCAGGTTCCAAGTCCTGCTGGAAAATATCTGCATGTCCATAAGCTCTAGAAGGACCACAAATAATGTTAGACTGCTGGTCTTTAGAAAACCCAGTAGACCAAACCAGCAGTTGACATGGCGACCCAGACAGTCGCTGACTGGAAACTTAACGCTGGACTTCCACCTGGACTCTGAGACATGAGCCATGTTCAGGGATGGTCTCTCATAAGGTTCAGGAAATTAAATGTTGCATCCCAGGAAAGTACCTGATAGTTTTCAGGAATGTGGCTGGTAAGCTCTGGGAAAGGTTTCAGAAAGTCTAAGGTCAGCAACCGGTAAATTACAGGCAAAGGTGTCTGGTAGGTCCAGGGAAAGGTGCTGAGAATATTCCAGCATAGTTACAGAAAATTGCATGATAGTTTCCAGGATAGTACATGATAAGCTACAGAGAAGTATTACGCCAGTAACTAAGTTACTAGAAAGCACCACTGGATTTCAAGAAAGTGTGTTGTAAGTTCTTGGGAAGTGCCTAGTAGATTCCATGAAAATACCAGGATAGCACCTGGAAAGTTTCAGTACACTACCTGGAAGTTTCCAGGAACGTCCCTGGTAAATTCTAGGAACAGTTCCAGGAAAGCATCTGGTACGTTCTGATGATGTTCTAGGTTGGAACCTGATAAGTTCCAGCAAAGTCTCAGCCCAATAACTGGTAAGTTACAGGAAAGAACCTGACAGTTTCTAGAAATGTTTCTGTTAAGTTGTGAGAAATCTTCTACGAACGTTCCAGGACAATCCCTCACAAGTTTCAGAAAAGACTTAGAACATACCAGCTACATTTCTGAAAAATGCCAGATACTTGCCTGAAACTTACCAGTGATTAGCCTGAGAACATTCCTGGTTGGTACCTGGTCCATTCTCAAGCCAATAACTGGCAGGTTACAAGAAAAGTACCTGTAGTTTCCAGGGATGTGCCCATCAAGGTCCATGGAAGGTTCCTGGAAAGTACCGGGAACCTATTATGATTCCAGGATCAGAATAGGTTCCAGAAATATTTTAAGCCAATAACTGATAGGTTTCAGGACATGATCTGATGGGTATCTGGGAAAAGTCTCAGGAAGGCACCCAGTACAGGAAGCAGTAAGTTCAAGGAAAGTTTAATCTGTATTATTTAGTGCTATCAGATGTTTTGCATGATACTGTAAATATAGGAGAGCACAACCCTTCATTGAAATACGTTTTGTAAGTACACAGCAGTCCAAGCTGCACTGTGATGCTACAGGTAACAGAATCACCTCTGAACATCATTTCTGGGAAAGTAATCTCCGTCCTCAGGGATCCAGCCGCTGAGAAAGTTCCATATTTACATTAAAACAAAGACTAACAAGCAAAAGAGAACAAAGTGAAATTAAATATTTACTGCCAGCACAGTGAACAACAAAATGGAAGAGGGAGAAGCAGTGGCAGCTTAGTGTTTTGTTTTTGTCAGAACAGTGGATCTCAAACCACAAACATCTTCTATTAATAGAATGAAAATGGATCTACAGTGATTTGCCTCATTGATGATGACACAGAAAATGACGATGATGGAGGCGGCAACCAGCATGCTCCTGCTTGTAGTCTTAAAAGTTTGCTCATAGGTTCTTCCTCACTGGAAAAGAAAAATAAAACATAATTCCTATTTAATACCTTTCAGGAAAAACACAAATGACTATTATTCCTCCTACCTGACCCTTTGTGTCTCATAACTGAACTTTTTATATTTATTTAGCATTTATTAATGTCATTTGTTACATGTAAGTTCTTAGTTTTTGTATGTTCTGTTAAAAATTGTTGCAAAAATCCTACATTTATTATCTTTATAAAATAAAATCAGTTTTTAAAAACGTGCGTTGTCGCCCCCTGGTGGCTCATATTTGTTTCTCCACATATTTCTGCTTTTGAACGTTTTCAACTTAACTTGTCAATTCCAGGTATTTGTGTTATTTTATACTACAAGATGGCTGTTTTAAAATAAAAAGCTTCTTTATTGCATCTTAAAACTAAGCGGATTAACTGTTGCAAAGTATTTTCACTGTTTATATGCAATTTTCTATTATTTAATTTGACATTTTTAGTCAGATAAAATTTCTTATGGGTTATAAGATTGTTTATAATCCGCAGAAAGATTTATTTTGGTTCCAAATAGATTCAAAAATGGAGGAAAATAAACAAATAGGGTAAATGTTTTGCCCAAACTGGTAGAAGGACAGCATATAGAGAAGTTCATGCGAACTAAATTTCTTATTTGTGTCTGTGTTCCAGTTGTTGAATTTCTCTGTGCTCCGCCTGAGCCACTGAGATCAGATTAACTCGGACGTCTGCTCAACACAGGCTGGAAAACAGCGCCATATAAGCCCGAATGAGGATTTGATGGTTATGTAAGCAAATTCACTGAGGTTTTCCCAGGCTGGAAAGCAAAAAGGGAAAAAGTCTGAGTCACTCAGGTTGGACGATGACAGCGGGAACTTTTGACCCCTCGAAACCGCAACCATCAAGCGAGAAAGTATTTTAACGATGAGACAAATTGCATGAGCGTGACAAACAGGAAGATGAAGTCGTGTCATTAACAGTAACATCTCATGGCTGCAGGGGAGTTCACTTATCATGAGTCACTGAGTATAATCTACGGGTTTCTATTTTTGTCCCAGAACGTCTGATGAAGGGAAAACCGAAAGCCCAGAAGACCCTCAGCGTCTTTAAAGAAGAAAGAAACAAGTGAATGGAAATGTTTGTAGATGTAATTTAATGCTTACATTTTTATGGATGTTGCAACACAAACACGTGATCAGCTCCAGCTGGGTCGCCTGGGCGAGTCTGTGTGAGGCTGAAAATGTATTAAGGCCACATTTTGTAAAGAAATGTTGAATGTTATTTTTTTAAAAAGCTGGTAGCTTTAAAGGTGTATGTGATAATCTGTCAAAGAAAGGAAATATTAGAAGCTACACCGCCTACAAAAACAAAAGTATCTTAGAACTAAAATGTTGGCATCTGTTTATAAAAATATGAGTTTTTCCTCCTCTGTGTAACAATAAACTTAATATTTTAATAATATAGATAATAAGGCAGTGGTGGGCACACTTTTGCTAATATGCTAATAGTGAAGCTAACTTTTTGTTTTGCTTTTTCTTCCAAAACGTTTAGCACTTAGCTTCCAGGAAATTAATTTTTCCAGATATTTTCTCTGCTGTTTTGTAAACGAAGTTGAAAAAAGTTCGCCATCTGCGTTTAAATTTCGATTATCGACGATTAACATTTATATTCAAGCTCTTATTGTGAAGGAGGTAAATGCTGTTTCCGTTTCCTCTCCTCACGTTTTGTCCGTTTTTTCCACAATAACTTTATTTGAAATATGAAAAGTACAAGAACAAAATAAAAAACGGACACAATGAGATAAACATGCAATTATAGGGCATATTAGTTGCTACATAAAAATTAAATGGTTGCTCAAGGGTTGTAGTGTTACGAGGACAAATATAATTTAAAGATAGCGGGTTAGCATTAGCTTCTTCTAAATACTGTGTTAGCATCCCAGCACTAGCAATCAAGCATTAGCTTATGCTATTTGTTTATGATTAGAGCTTTCTGATTAGCATAGCTAACTTTTTCATCATCACTGCACATAACAAAAAAAAAATCTAGATTTTATTTATGTTTTATTGACTGCGGGGCACTTTTCATAATGTTTTCATGTGAAACATTATGAAAACCACCTGTCATTTTTTATTTTCTTCATTAATAATTAACAAGATGGATGGATTTTTATTTAAAAAAAAAAAAAAAAACCAGCCTGATGAATTATGAGTCTAAATCTTCTTTCTTCCATCAAGCACAAGTGATAATAAATTAGATTATCTCAATTTTTATTCTAGCTGGTCAGCAGTGTTGCATTTAGCAGAAAGGACCAACGCAGATCTCATAAAAATATATTGTTTATGATCAGTAACTTGTGGATAAAAACATTTCATACCAAGTAAACATCCAACTCAGAGTCTGACTGGCTCCTGCTGAGCGACGGCAGCGGATCATCCAGAGCTAAAGTGGAGCTGGAGTCCCGGCGATCTTCACTGGACAGAAGAAAAAACACATTTTAGATTTTTATGTACTGAAGGTTTTCAGAGTATTCATGTAATGTAATAAGTACATTACCTCAATTACAGCAACTTTTGTGGAAAAATTATGCACTTTTATATGTAAATTTACTTTAGGTACTTTTAGTAATTTTATTATTAAGTATTTCCAGTCTTACTTGAGTAAAATTTCTGGGTATTTTTCCCATTGAATGAAAAACAAACATGTTTTCCATGTCATTTGTTTTAATGATGCAATTTTAAAATATTAAATAATTGATAATTTGATCAGTTAGTACTTTTTACCAAATACTTTTTCACTTCTGAGTAATTTCTTGGATGAGAACTTTTTGATTCTTTTCTTAAAAACACAAATTGTTGTCACTTCAGATGCAAGACGTCTTAATGAAAATGACTCCAAAATTATTTTTACGTCAAAATCAGGTGAACCGAGTTCAGTATTTGCGGGTTTTCATATCAGGAAACAAAAGTTTTTTTTTCCTGTTATTGTTGAAAACAACAGGATGTGAGGCAAGATGGTTGCCAGGGAGACAAAGTACCTGTTTTCAGTTTCCTCGTCGTCGTTTCGGATGGATTCAGTCAGAGCAGATTTGGGGAGAAGATCCGGTTGTTTGGAGGAACTGTAAACTGTTGAAACACCAGAAAGGGAATCAGAAAGGATAAAAAGATATTTAGTTTTTAAAAAATGGGGGTAAAGTTTATGTTACAGTTTCCATCCAGGTTGTCCATGCTCTGTGCCTTCTTCTCCTCCTTCTCCTTCTGTATGGACAGAAACTCCTGAGACGCCGATTTCCCTGCATGGAGGGAACTCCTCTTCCTCTTCGAAGACGCCCCTCTTAAAGCTGACGTCACAGAAACAGAAAAGACAAACTCATCAAACACAAACCGACTAGAAATACATAAATAAATAAAGCAGAAAGTTAAACGTACGATGAAGCTTTCTGAAAACAGTCGTTCCCATGAATTTCAGAAACCTGTCTGCGTAAAAACCGGGCCTGTGGACCGATACGGTGTCCTGCAAGCAGAGAAAGGGTCAAATAAAATGTTTTTATGAATCTGTGGGTGAAATGGAAGCGCAGGTCGACAAACTGACCCCGTCGTGCACGAGAGCCTTCCAGGAGTGCTCAACTTTCTTAATGAACCTGGAAAAAAACAATAAAATGAGCAAAGATACAGCAAATGTCAACAGAAAACAATGGAAAGTGCCACAAGACCCATAAAAAAAAAATTACATTTCAGGTTATTGTCAAATTCTTTTTTTTCAAAGAAAGCAAAGAGAAATTTCTAAGTTTCTTTCTTGAAAATTTCAGAGATTAATCTAAAAAAAACCTCAAATGTTTGGCAGAAATTCACTCCTGTCTCTCCATCCACCAAGGCCTTAAAATGCTACCTGTGTTTTTTGTTACCTGTACGACTGAAGAATATCAATGATTCCTAAAAAGATGAGCAGGTTTTCATCTTTGTGTTTTGCAGGAATCCCACCCAACCTGTAGAGAAAGTGATGATTGTTTTGATACATTTAAACATATTTAGTGTGATTGGAGAATAATCCGGGTTTGTTTGTAACAAAACTCACGTGTCGTCGTCTGCGACCGGTTCTGGGTCCTTCACCGTCCCCTGGATGGACTCCAGGGCGGTGGAGTAGAGGACTTTCTGTCCTCTCCTGCTGTCGCAGCGGTTCCCTCGGCTCAGCGGCTTCCTGTCCAGCACATGGATGCCCAGCAGCAAACTGTAGTCCATGATCTTGAAGCTTTCCAGGACCTGAAGAGCCAGAAGTCAGGAGGAGCGTCGAATACCAGCTAGAAGACTGTTTGGAGCATCAATGAGGAATTCTCATGAGCTACGCTAGCTAATGCTAACAGTCATCCTACATCGACCAAAATATGCAAGATTTAAAGCTTTTATTTCAGTTTCTATATGATTTCTCTGTTTCAATGAGTATTTTCTATTTTCTCAAATGTTTGCTATGCTAATTCTGAATTTAAAAAGTTTAAAATGTTCAATTTTTTCAACTCAGGCAATTGAAAATTTGACTTTTCAAATTCAGAAATTTCTCAGATTAATAAAAAAATTTTTTCCAAAGTAAATTTTTGACTTTTCAAACTGAAATTTCTTTTTTTTTCACTGACCAACAATTAGCCATTAGCTTGACACTAAAGTTTTGATTAGTGCTTTTTAGCTTAACAGCAAATAGTTGTTAGTTTGACTCTGATTAGCCCTTAGCTTGACTCTGATTAGCACTTAGCTTGATTTCTGATTAGCCCTTAGCTTGACTCTGATTAGCCCTTAGCTTGATTCTGATTAGCCCTTAGCTTGACTCTTATTAGCCGTTAGCTTGGTCAGAATCTAGTTTATTAGCCAAGTTTGTAGCTATTAGCTTCTGCATTAGTGCTAAGATAGTTTCCATTGCATATATCGGTGCATGTTAAGTTAATATTTGGTGTTTGAATTTAAAAATAGGCAATTATAACATTATTTAGAGCGAATTTGCAGAATTCAGCTATTACTAGGTGGTTGTGAAGATCCACTGTAGGAGTATGCATTGAACATTACATCATATAGTTTGGAAAAAAAAATCTGAACAGGGATAAAGAGTGAAAATCCTTTACAATTGTTGAAATGTGACTTTTTAGAGTATTGTTTGAAGCATTTCTAGCTTAAAAAGACAGAAAATGAACTTTGGGATTCATGTAAGCTGGTATTAAAGTTTAAAAAGGTTAAACCAGAAAGTACAGAACGTTCTAAGCCTCTGAACACAAACAAAGAGACTCTTAATACCCCCAGTTACCCAACACACAGACTGATGTTACACACAGCCGACCGGTTAGAGCTGCTCAGGTGCTAATTCTTAATCAAGTGGCCATTGTTGCTTCTGTTTAATAAAACAACAGACAGAGAAGCAGGGATGTTGTTGCGGCGCAGCCTGCTGCTCTGTTGTGTTGCGTAACGTCATCAAAGTGGAGAATTGTGGGGTGATCATAGGCTTAGTGAGGAGCAAAGAGCGAAACCCGCTGTGGACTGAAGCGATAAGTTGATTGAGTCTCAGTTTCTCTGAGTGTTTGGTCCGGGGAATTTGATGGAACAACAAGCAAGTAAAACGAGCTGATAGTGGGAATCAGCTCCAGCTGCTGAGTCTCTCACCACTAATGAATATTTCTGTGTAAGCTCAGATTTGTTTCTATTAGAGATCAGCCGTTTAATCAGTTCTCTTCGCTCCCTTTGTGTTCACAAACCTTCATTTCTGTATTTTAGAACCACATGATCTTCAGTTACGTGGAAACATGAAGTTAAATGTAGATTCTGGAAACTTCTGCAGTTTTTCCTACAGCAATACGATGCAAACGCAACCACTTTTGTGACTTTGACTAGGCCTTTCTATCTAAAACCACTCTGGCTGTTGGCTTAGAGTTGTTGTCCTTTTACATGTTACAATCAGTAACCATCAATTTTACTCAAGAGTAGAAATACTTCCTAATAAAATTACTAAAGTAATAGTAAAAATACACATACAATACACTTATTTTTCCAAAATTAAGGAATTATGTATTCATAACAAGCTCCTACATTTTGCTGAATAGTTACTTGCAAGTTTTGTTTTATTTAAAATGTACAATAAAGATATTTGAATAGAAACTAGACTAAAAAACCACTTGGTAAGATTTTTTTTTTTTTGCAGAGTTGAATTCAGACCAGGAGTTTTCCCTTTGCTCATACAAACACGATGCTGTGTTGGAAAAACCCTTGAGCAACAGTGGAAGTGATATTTATGATTAGCGCTTTCCGGTTAGCAGCACTGCTAACGTTTAGTCTGCGGTTCCCACCAGACAACACTAATAAAAGCTGCTGTCTTACCAAGTATTTTAGTCTAGTTTGTAGTATAAATATCTTAGTTCACTTAAAATAAAAATCCTAAAGTGGGATGAAGAGATAAAATCCTTCAGAATTATTGAAATCTGACATTTTAAAATTTTGTTTGAAGCATTTCTAGCTTAAAAGACAGAAAATTAACTTTGGGAGACATTAAAGTTTAAAAAGGTTCAACAAAAAAACTTTGTATTAACTTAAAATATTTTTTCAGCAAAAAATATGAGCCTGTAGTAGTTAATAATTCCTTAATATTGATGAACAAAGTTCCTGTTGTAAGAGAAATTATCAACCAGTGGAACATTTTACCATATAAGGAAAAGTTTTGTTCCACTGAAAGATTATTTTACTAACAACTATTTAGGGATTATTTATTTAAAACAACTAAAATGTTCATTTTAAGTTAGTTTTGCATCAAATATGCCAAGATATTTGGAGTAAAAATTTGAATAGAAATACTTTCTAAGATTCATTCAGACTGAAAAGTTAAATTTGGTCGTCATGCTTTACCAACATGATGCTATATTTGTGTTGCATTTTAACATTTGTGGAGTTAATATTCATGATTAATGCTTTACTAATAGAAAACTGCAAAAAGAAAATGTTATTCTTTCTATTTCATAAATATTATCCATGTTAAAAGCCAAAATGTCTTGTTCCTCTGGCAGATTTGCTTATAACTAGAAGTTTTTCATCAATATTATTGACTTAAAACAAGCTGAAAAGTTACTTGTAAGTTAGTGTTGTCTTATTTTAAATAAACCGAGTTACTTCCACTAAAACCTTGAGGAATGCTTGGTGATATTTAGTGTTTTTGCAGTGCGTTCCTGCTCACCCTGCAGTCCCTCTGCAGCGTCTTCATCAGGGCGCTGTAGGTGTCCGGGTCGAAGAAAAGCCCGTCCTGGTGCATCTCCTGGAAGTCCAGGTCTTTGAACGTCGGCGAGTTCTTCACGCGCTCCTTGCGTGAAGCGCGGCGTTTGTAGGACGAGCCTTTCAGGTCGTATTTGAAGTGCATCTTCATGGCTCGAGGCAGAACGTTGTTCATCACCACCACGCGCACCGTCACGCCGCCGCACTGGATGCAGTAAAGGCCGTAAAATTTGGGCAGCAGCGTCCGCGGGTTCTGGTTCAGATTCTGAAATGAGAACAGAGCAGGGAAGACGACATGAAGACAAGGTGGAGTTTAATTGTTGACTTGGCGTGCAGAAACTATTGCTGGTTGTGCAGGAGGCTCCACTTCTGCTTGTTAAATATGTTATCCATCTGTTTGCATCCGTTTTATGTTGAGTTTATGTTGCTGTTAATTTTAAGTTCAGGGGTTTGATGCCCTAAAACAGCTAAAATCTCATTATCCATGATAGATGTTGTGCAAATAATGTAAAGAACATGTTTTGTATAGGCCATGCATTAATCCTAACCTGTTCAGAGAAGCTTAATAGGTGAATTTAAAAGTATATTTCTCAGTATATTTTTTCCTTATTAAATAAAATTTTGATTTGAAAACAGCCTTTAGTTTTTATCCTGGTTATATACGTGATCTAGAAGATTTAAGTGTCAGAAAACTGATAAGCGCTTTGTGGGAAGCCGAGCGTCTTGTGAAGTCACTGTTGGGAAACGTTTGACTGAGCAACCCACCATGTAGTAACCAGGAAGCAGCTTCTGCAGAAACTCCGCCTCTTTGTGCTGCACCGTCTTGATGATGAACTCGTCGTCGCTGGTGAGGTAGAACCAGGAGCTGCTGGCGCCGGGGTTGGACAGCTCGATCAGCGGCTCCTTACAGATGGAGTACTGAGACGGAGAGACGCAACATTTCGCAACCAGTTACAAGGAAACTCACATCAGCGCAGTGATGAGTCAGTTTGACGTTGTGGTTTCAGCTCACCAGATAGTCGTCAGGCTTGATGCCAAACAGCTCCCTGAAGTAGCGGAAGGCCAGCGGCGCGTACGTTTTCAGACGGAAATCTGGGAAATGATGCGCCGGAGTCAGGTTGCTGCCATCACTGGAGATAATAGTAATAAAATATGGTAGTTAGTTAACTGGTGAGGCAGTTTGACCAGTCAGAGGGTAAACCAAACATTGCTAAAGCGTTTTCCTGCAGCGTCACGTTTCCAGATAATGTCTGACCAAGCGTGACGGCTTGTGAAATTAAACCAACACCAATTTGTTCTGTATCAAAGCCTTTAAGCTACTAGAAATGTTCAAAAATATTTCATACAAAGTAAATTGTGCCACAATCACTGGAACACATGTTGGTAATATTTGTACAACTGGAAACTAGCAGGACAAAATCTATTACATTTCGTTAGGTTGGAGTTGAACCTTTAACTTTCTTCTCTCAGAATCACCTAGCAGGTTTTTTTGTCATTAGATCTGGTCAAATACTTTATTTGGACGAATAAAGTTGATTTTCCACATGGTGAATCATTTCCACCATAAATTGTTATTCAATTTATTTCATTTTTCTAACAGATCAAACTAGATTTCTTTCCAACATATCCTGGTATTTCATATTATCACACTAACAATTCATGCCAGACACAATTATAGTGCATCTGTAAGGTAAGTCCCTGCAGCATTTAGCAAATTATACATTTATGTTTGTGATGGTAGAACAGAAAGTCTTAGTTATACCTCAGAGAAACAGAAAGTTCAATCATTTATCGGCTTTAACTTATTTGGTTGAAAATAATTATAATGTATTTTTCTCTCTATTTAATGAATAAAACAAATTAACGGTTTGTCTTTAATTTGATATTGTGCAACAGAAACCATTAATTCAGTCCATGTTTGACCAGTTTGTATGTTCATCCATTCTGCATCCATTTAAGAAGTAATAGAAAATGTCTTCGGCGTGCAGCCGCCCCCACAGGACGTGCGGCCATGGGTGGTGAGCCATTTCACCCTTAATAAAAACCCACCAGTGGGTAACTGACAGTTGATCTTGATTTACCTCTATTTGTACTGCATGTAAATGTTTACCTGGGTAGGAAGACGGTTTCTACCATGGAGAAGTCCTGCATCAGAACATCTCTGTCTGGTTTGGAGCTCAGGTTTCCAACAGCATAGCCGATTCCCAGCTGGATGGCTCCTTTCAGGGCCTCTGCTGTGGGCTGACAGACACATTTATAAATAATAAAAAGAATCTAATTACTTCTTTCCTGTCTGAACGCATAACTTTTACATTTCCCCCTCACGAACAGGCTATATTTAGCATCTGTAACATTTGGTCTAGTAGAAAGTGTCGGGGTTAGCACGTTCCCCTCGGGATGAATCATGTTAATGACTGTTGACTCCCTCAGCTGTACTTGGCTTTGTGTTAATTAGCTTGTAAACATGTTCAGTGGTGGCGGTGACCTCATAAACAAACAAATACTTAACACTTTCAGGCTCACACAGAGGCTGTGTTGTTGTTTGGGATTATGCTAACATGTAGCCGCTAACGGTTTGCACCACTTGCTAACTGAACGTTAGTGTAAATAGCCTAGATCCATTTTGGGAAAAACACAATATCATGTTCCTCTTCATATATACTGGTCTAGTTCAGCATGTAATCTGATCTTATCCGTGTCAATTTGTTTGTATTTTTAAAGTGACACCTACCTATAGCCTGCAGCTTCTTAAAGCTAACAGCTTCTTAAAGCTAGCAGCCTTTTAAAGCTAGCAGCTTCATAAAGCTAACAGCTTCTGAAAGCTAACAGCTTCTTAAAGCTAGCAACTTCTTAAAGCTAGCAACTTCTTAAAGCTAGCAACTTCTTAAAGCTAACAGCCTTATAAAGCTAGCAGCCTTATAAAGCTAGCAGCCTTTTAAAGCTAGCAGCCTTTTAAAGCTAGCAGCCTTATAGAGCTAGCTTGCGCAAACAAGAAGGAAATTTAAAAAAAACAAAATTTATTGACAATATTTTATATTTGGCAACATATACACATCAAACTATACAAAATTATTAGCTTTTACTGTGGAGGACAACTGAACTTGTTCATTTAATCAAGACAGAATAAAGAAAACATCTATATTTCTAAGTGCTAACAAATAATGAAATGTAACATTTAGCATTGTATGATAAGATTTAAGTCTCAAAATAATTACGGGATACTACATTTGATTTAGAACAGTTCATAGATTCATCAAAGTTAGGAAAATACTGCTTTTGATGGTTACAGTTAGCCTAAAGATAACTCCTACATTTTAAAACTGGCTTAGGAATCCCCAGAAATGTTTATTTGAAAAGTTTAATATTGACCTAAAATAAAAAAAAAAAAAAAAAAAACATAAATCACCAGAATACTATGAAATTAGGAGTTAAGATTCAAAACTGACCAGTTTACACAAAGATCTACAGTTGTCTGGAAAAAGTTATTTACATTCTTTCCCCTTCAAAACCGATTTTAACGAGATATTATGAGGTTGCTCGAGATTAATTTTGAAAACCATGATGACATCAGTACCAGTCATTGTAAAAATCGTCCCAAATTGCAGGTCAATTATTATATACAACCAGCAGCAGGAAATGACCTAATTCTTTATATTATGGATTCAACACAGATTTGTAAAAATATTTCAGACATTTTAATAATCTTGCAACTGCTGCAGATTACACCAAACTAGAATATATTGAAAGGTTCATATTTAAATGTCTAGTTTAGCTAGTTTGGTGTTTTTCTGCACTGCCCTGTGTTTTCATTTTTGTAAATCTTTTGTTCTGTCTCACTTTATGCCGTAGCGGCTTAAATTTCTCACTTGTGGGACTAATAATGGATTATTTTATCTAATAAAACTATTGAAATCTTGTAACTAGAGTAAAGTGAACTCATTGTCATGGCTAAACCTTTTAAATATTTTGGCCTGATACCAAAACATTTGCATTGATAAACGACTCTCACATGAAGCTTAGGGAGAAAGTTGCACCTAACATTTCAACATTAGAAATGCTGATGATAATTAAATATTTCTGAGATAGTAGTTTAAAAATCCACTAGAAAGTCAGAACTAATTTGACAAATGATGGATTTTGTTTTACCTTTTTGTGATCCTTTGACGTTTTAGAGGTTTTGGTTCCTCTTCCTTCCTTGTCGACGGTCTCCGTTGACATCTTAGATTTAGAGAACTTATTCAAAGGGAAGCTCGGCTGTTCTTCCTCCAACTTTCACTGACTTCCTGTTTTATTGAGCTCACTAATGAATGAACCAATGATGCACAGCTTCACGATTGATGGGCTTCATGGAAACTTCATTTCCCCAGCTGGCAGCTCCTGTAGAGAGAAGACATTTGCATGAATATAATCATATCAGTTTGGTTTGTAGAAACCAAAAGAAGATGTTCATTATTTTCCTTGCATGGAGCCTGACCTGTACAGGCTGTTCTGTCTGAGCTACTTCATAACTCTGAGGTACTTTTCAGTTTTTGTAAGCCTGTAGCTCCAGAATCCTCCACAATAACCCTTGGTCCCAATTAATAAGGATTGTTAAACCTGTTACACACACACAATAAAAAAATCTCCCATTTTTAGAACAATGAGCAGCAATCAGGGCTTACAGCTTAGATCCCGAGTTTCCCAAAATGCAACCCGGGACAAAACAAAGGATTGTTCACGACTGAGAAGGTTTCCTCATCTCTGTGATCTTGGCTCTGAAGGTTCTGGGTTCAAATCCAGATCCTGGATGAGGTTAGCATGTTGGAGAAAAGAAGCTCTGTTCAACTGAGCGAGCAGAAAAACAAACTACGTATTACAGAAGTAAAGGAGAGAAGTGGTGAAATTTCAAAGGAACTGACTATTCAGGGCATCATAATTTGTGAAAATCAGTTTAAAGTTTAATATCTTGTCATGCACATATTTTACTCTTTATTATTTAACATTTTTCATCGTTTTAGCATAATGGTAAAGGAGCATAAGGAGCCTGTGAGACAGGAAATGCTAACATCTACTAGCTAACATCTGTTTTATCTGAATCTTAACTTGTTTACAGACCTGAAAGTTAAATCAGCAATAAATACATTTATTGTTGATTTAACCTTCTGGCATCATATTTGATTTTATTTACTAAATTCACACATAGCCATTGTAATTATGTATCAGCCCAGCTTAGCTAACTAGCATTAGCTAAGCCAGTTGTTTTCTGGTAAGTAGATTAAACCTGAAATTATCATTGAAGCTGTTTGTTTTATTCTAAAAACTCAGTTTTGTTTTTCATCTGGAGCAAAATAATGAGTTTTATTCACCTGACAGTTGTTCTTAATCACATTTATGCTCCAGACATTGATTACAGTTTGTTTTATCTGGAGCAGATATAGTGATGTGCTTCATAAAATGGTGGATCTACACTCGTGTGAGATTATTTATATAGTTATTCAACTGGGTAAAGTTAACACTCTTCTCATATGTTACTGAACCCAGATTATATCTGGTAAAGGTTATTGTTTGTAGTGATATGTAATTTTTTCCCCCAATTATTTCCAAAACAAACATGTTTCTGTATTTGAACCAAGTGTTTTTAATGAAAGTGACATGAATTTCTATCATTTTTCACTGTATTTTAATCCTCATTTAACTCATTTCTTTCCAGATGTTTTTTTTAATCGGCTACAAACTCATTCAGTTAAAACCAGAACATACTTCTATAACAAACCACCAGAAATTATGAAACTAACATTTTTTTTCTACCCATTTTTTGTTTCTTTTGGTTTCTGATGCAAGAGGCACTTTCATACTCAACACATTTAATCTTGTTTTAAAGATATCTTTCAGATTAAATGTTTTTGGAGCGATGAGTAAACTTGCAGAAAGCGGCACAGACAACCAGCTCTGTTTATTTTAAGGTTCTGCTTCAGGATGTGGTTTCGTGGTTTTGACTCGAGGAGAGGCGAACTGGGTCGAGAAGGGTCGTCAAGATAAAGAGAAACGTTTTTCAGGGATCTGCTCTCACAGCTTGACGTTAGTTTCCATATTGATATTCAAGGCAGAAAAACCTGAAGGGAAGAATAAACCTTTCATAAAAACGTGACCCAGTGAGAGTTTTTGGTTTCTGGCTGATGATTTGGTTTGTAGATGGTGTTGCAGATTAAGAGGCGAGTAAAAGTGAATTTAATGATAAATAAACATCAACTTACATATGAGGAGAAATATGTGCAACAGCCGGTAAACAAACAGGAAGCGTAAATAACAGAGAGCGAAAGAGAGGAGGTTAAATACTGGGAGAGACTCTGGAGCTGATTGGCTAACAGGATGCAGGTGTGAAAATAGAGAGAGAACATAATCCAAGTAAAACAGAACGAGGTGGAGCAAATCAAAATAATAACTTAGGCAAACACATAAATAATAAAAAAGACACTAATTATTTTTGAAGTTTCTAGTCCAAACATCTGAGAACACTTGAAATAAAAACTTTTCCATAACAAGTAACTTTCCAGCAAGATATAGGAGTTTATTTTAAGTCAATAATCCTTTATATTTATGAAAAATTAATACTTTCACTTTACAACACTGGAAAAATGTCTTGTTATAAGTGAAACAATTTTTTAAAATCAAAACTAAGGAATTGTTTACTTAAAATGAACTTCTCTATCTTATTGAAAAGTTACTTGTAAGTTAGTTTTGTTAGTTTTGCACTAAGATAAAATAAAATACTTGTTAAGATTTGGTGTTTTTGCAGTGTTCCTCTACAATGACAATAACATTCTCCCTCCACAATGTAGATAAAAATAAAAAAAATACAGTGAAGTGGAATTTTAACCAAATTTGTAGTCATCATACAATCTTTTCATGCAATAAAATATATTTGAACTGTGGGAGAGCTGATCTTAAAATCAATATCTGATGTTAAACATTTTGGTCGTTTTTATCTTTCTATTTTTGCCACTGCTGCTTCTAAAAACAGCCAAGTGCTAAAATAAAATGATACATCTGTTTTTAAGTTCATGGTTTTGGTGTCAAAATCCTTCAGCATGTCGAATCACAAATCAGCAGGCACTAGCAACCCCAGGTGAGCTCACCTGTTACCTGGTGACCCAACTGAAGCTCCAGCATGTTTGGTTCTACTGCTGCAAAATGGCAGTAGTAGAAAAACTAAAGTAAGGAAAACATAAAAGTTATTTTTAGTTATTTCCCCTCATGGTGAAATGCTAATGACAAACAAAAATCACCATGTGGAAGAAGAGACAAACTGAACAATCGACTCGATGAAGAAGTGTCAGGTCTGGGTTCTGAAAGTGAGGAAGTTAGCGCTGATGTGCCCTTTGCCTCAACATCAGGTTGTATAATGTAACAACAACCATTACACAATCTGTCTACTGTCTGTTGGAGCAATGATTCTTAATTTAACTTGTTTCTTTGAGTTAATTCAAAAACGACCAACTTGATGTTTGAAGACTGTTCTCATAGAGGCAGACTGGACTCTAATGATGGTCGTTCACTGGTTTGATCCACTCAGACTGGAGGATTTGAATGGTTTAAAGTTTATAGTTGTTGAGTTTTGCTAGCTCTGATGCTAATTCAATTTATTCCACCACAATAGGGATTCGGTAAGAAAACCTGTAGGCTTACAAGACAGCAAATTAGTGCTTTAGAGTTCAGGGGAAGCTAAGTGTGCTAAAAAGTTTTCAAAATTAGCAAAAGCACTAAATGTGCTAATTAGTAGATTATCAGAAAGGTGTCCCTCCCATCTCTCTGTCATGAACCGTAACAGAGGCAGTGTCGCCTCCAGTACATGTTGATCTCGATTCTTTGAGACATTTTTGATTTTTTGATGAGGCAAACACTTCCTGGTTTCCCCATTTCTTCATGCTGGTTCTCTGGAATCCTGAAACTTTAAAATGACTTTGTGTTTCATCTATTCTTGTATTTCCGTAGATTGGAGTGTGATGTGTACACTGCATCTCCACTAGAACTGATCCAAAACATTTGTTTAATCTTTAAGTTGTTTTCCCATCTCACAGCTTGATATATTCGGTTCCATTTGGGACCAAAATTGCAACATTTGATACATTTTCAGCCTCTGTGGGTCACCTTCAAACTGCACCCAGTCAAACTGACCAAATCTTTTGAACCTCTGTTCCCTCCCAGCCTGTGGTGGCGCTGCACCAAGAACTACTGAAGGAAACAAAACAAAAATCTCTGAAGAAGACACAGTGTGAAACTTCCTTCTTCACAAAATGCAATCAAATATAGAGTAGCGTCAGATATTAGTGGTTGTAGAATTTTATTTTGTTTGTGGTAAAAGACCATGAGACATTTTTCCTGTTAGCTTTAGACTCACATGTTTGTTTTGGTTTAAATTACCCAGAATGCTCTGTGTTGTAGTCCACTATCTGCTTCTAGAGCAGCCTCCGATCCGCTTGGTGTTCACATATGCTTTGAATCCGAACCAGAGTTCATTTCAACTGAACCCAGCCTGAGGTTTGTTGGTGGACCAGAGTTCGGGTTTATGGTCCAGTTGTGCGTTCACACCTCCCCAAATGAACTGGACTTTCTAAACAAACGGACTGGATTTGGATTAAAGCTGACTAAGGAGTTAAATCAATTTGTGTGATGAGACAAAACAGTATAGTAATACATTTCTCATTGATCTCTGTTTGAGGAACTGTAACTTTTATTTCATAAACCTGTTTTCAGTTTTGACTTTGCATTTTTAACAGTTACACCCGGCGTTAAACCAACAGCTCCTGGAGTATCTGTGATGAAGAGGCCTCCATTAGAGCTGGGTGTAAACCGCAAACAGGCCTGTGTTTAACTAGACGCTCAGGTGAGGGAAAGCAAATATTTAAACCTGCCTGCTGCCTTTACATGTATGTAAATGTCACAAAGTGCTCCTTACAAGCCGGTCGCAGATATTTTACTTTTTTAGTGTCTGACTGAGGAAGTGGAGCTGATTTCCTCTTGTGATACAATTTTCATGTTCTCACAGTGGGACGCCCAGCCGACGGGCCGGACGGCGGCTGAGTGGAACCGGCTGGGGAAACGTCAACCTGTCAGCCGGCAGGTAGAGGCTGGATGTGTGAGGAGAAGCAGAAGTCTTACCTGAAGCGTCAGGATGCTGAGTTGTGGTGTGAGGAAAGTCCAGCAGCAGGTTGACGTGAGCTGAGCTGCTGAGAGACGAAGAGCCGACTGCTGCTGCTGCTGTAAGGCATCCTCACCACTTCCCCTCCGTCTTCCTCTGTTCGCGCCTCTCTCCGCCCACCTGGTGTGATCATCCTCATCCGAGCTGGAGTT